GGAGTATGTTCATGGACGTTACTGGAAACTGGAAGCTCCGGTTCACGCACCCTTGTACAGTCAAAAGTATAGAATCAATGGATGTGCTGGTTTGTCTGGCTCTGTACTGATGGCAAAAGCTTAATAAACTCTCTGTTCTAGCAGTGTTAATATTGATTGTTAAAATCAATGAATTATTTATTATACGGTATGTTATCCGCGAAACAAACTAGAGACAAAATGGCACTTTACCCAAAATATAAATAACGGAACTGAAATATATAGTCTTATTACATAAATGAATGATATTTGAAAGGGACACCATGTAGGTGTTTTGACATGACGGGTTTGAAAATAATGTTTCGATATTTGTGTTCCAGTTGGTGTAGGCCAATAGCTTGTGTGCGAAATTTCAGATCATTTGGTCACTTCATTTTTTCAAAAATAATTATTCAAACTGTGAAAAATGACCCAAAATTGAAAAGTATTGCGACTCTTTCCACTCAAACCGGGCTAAAAACAGCACAAAAATACGATTTTCAATTCATTTTTAGTATATTTTTAAATAATTTTTTGTATATCTTTCTATTGAAAGTACCAAAACTGATCTTTGAGTGAAATTCATTTTTTACGCTTATGGACCTCAGAGTTCCTTTAAACACCACCCAATATTTTTATCTACTTTGATGTACTTCTAGCATATTTGTCTCTGTTGCATCCGTATCATCGAATGATGTTCTATTTCCTTCGTCATAAATTTTCATCAAGTCATTTGTTCTGCAAAGGTCTCAAGGGGGATACAATGATTTAAATCCTAGACGAAAAATGTAATTGAATGCTCCGAATTTGTATTAATTTTGCTAATATAATTTAATTCGTTAACGGAAGAGAATAGCTGTCAAATAGAGAATGCAAATCAATACTCGTAGAAGTAATTTTAGAAACTGTTGACCATTTTTACGTTTTAACACAATGTAATTGTTATTTAAGGGTAATTTATAAAGACAAATTTAGCTGCTGATATATCACCAACTGGTATACCACGGCTCAATGCCCAAGTCTTTTTTCCCCAAAGGAAGTGCAAGATGAATGTCACAACAACAAAACAATGACTTTTGTTTCTGCTAAAATGTTTATTAACACATATTGAATAGGTCCTTTTTAAGCAAAATCAATGATTGCAACATTGAAAATTGAAATATTTGTTAGCTACCTTGAATTAGACAATATCCTTTAAGGTAAAAAAACAATTTGATTATGTGTAACAGTACAATCTAGCTAAAATGTTAGTTGCATATAGAAAAGAACCACATTGTATTTATTTGAATGATCTTTTCTTTTGGCAAATTCAGATGAAGGGAACGTGTAGATGTTACACTTTACATTTATTTCTTGTGAACAATCTCAGTCAAACCGAGTCTTTTACTTCACAACAACAGTGTTCAAGTGTTGTGTTTCAGCTTGTACTTCGCTTCTGTGTTGTTATTTATTTACTTATTTATTTTTATTTTTTTAAGTCCTTCGGAATTATTGATTCTAGCATTTTTAAGTATTGAAAATTGAGTACCATTCAAGCCGGCACTAGAGGGCATGAGGGATCTTACAATTTTGCATTATTCCTTATGTACAGACCCAAACCGGGTCTGCAATTTTCATATATTTTTATTGTGATTTATGCTTCTGAGGTATCACACTTTATCCAGATTTTTATTTGCTATTGTAGCCATTGCTCTCGATGGATGTTTCTTTTTTCACATTTTATAGTGTATGTAGGACATAAATAGTCCAATGACATTTTTTGAATCACATTGACAATTTTGTGTTCCAATAAGACTGTCGTTATTCAATAACGACCAATGACACTTAGTGTACTTTTAATTTCAGGGATGGTGTTATATATCTTACATCTTTTATTTTGCTTACGAAAATATAAAAGGAAAAAACAATTCCAGCTTTAGTACTTATTTCCTGCCCGACAGTCATTTGCAATTCAAAGGCAAGTAATTTTCTCACGATAAACAATGATGGAATGTAAAGTACATTTGACAAACCGTGTAATTTATGTTCATTTTGACTCCTCCACTGTTTCTCAAACAATACTACAGCATGCGATTAACGTAAAAATTTAACAAAATACGTATTTTAATCGTATTTACCCCTTAAATGGATTTTGTTCATTTGTCAAAGAAAACAAAACCATTTCGGGAAAGTTTCAAAACAAGTTCTGACTGTAGGACGAAAAGTGCAAACCATGATTTCACGGTATATATGTTTAGAATAGAAGATAAAGAAAAAACATTCCTCCTAATCAGTTAAAAGGTGTTCACTATCTTTTAATAGCGAGCTCGTACAGCAGACCGGAAGTACAGGGAAATTTTGCGTAATAAGGTTGCCTGCTCTTCATGTGGAGGTTAATTTCGTTCCATTTCCTATTAAGTTCCCGGACTCATTAAATTTATATTCGGAAGGCACACCTTGCAAATTACCATTCTAATACATGTATGACTTGAAATCCTTACTTGTTTAAAATTTTCATAATTAGCTTTTTTAACTCCTTAAAGAGAGTAACAAAATTAATTTCTTCTAATTTGAAGTAATTAAGCCCTCATTAGGCTATTATAACTATTATTCAAGAGTTGATTTATTTTCTTTATAGAACAAATTCATAGATTATATTAAGAAACTTACTCATAAATAGGAGTTTGCAGCTCATAATCATGGGGTTATAAGTACTATTCAAAGTCATGAGATTTTTCTTCTATTGTGTTATTAAATACTCTTAATTAAAAATTTGTTTCGATAAACACAAGTAAGAAATTAATTATTTGTACCAAGTCGCAAGTAAGGACTCACTTATTCCAAAATAAAAGTAACCCTTGCTAAATCCTGTTTAATAAGGGTTTTTTTCTTATCAGCGTCTATTTATCTTTAAACAAAAAAAGATGAGTGAGGGCGATTTGCAGGGGAAATAATGTGAGACATTTTTCAATGCAACAATTTGATACCTTACCTCTAAAAGTCTTCAGGACAAGTTTATAAGTTTCATTAGCTTACAACATTTTACATTTAATACCAATATGTCCCTCAAATAAGTGAATTTGGGCCAATGATCCTCCTTTCTAAAAGTAAATTAATGTTATGAGTTTAATGCAAATACTCTATAAAACATATATTAAGATATGTAATTACATACTGTATAAATTATGCCACACTATCAGATAAGGTAAACCTTTAGAGTAAACGTTTCTGCAATTATTAAACTATACTGAATATGAGACCTGACAAAGTATGTATATTGTACACGTGAAGACATAACCCCTCCCTTTTCGAAAATTGTACTAAGATATATATTAAGAGCTGAGAAATGAAGCACTTTTAGATAAGGTATTTACTCTTTATCCTCCTTTATAAAATTTCGAATCATAAAAAAATAATACGGACAAAATTTTGTTAATTGATTTCTTTCTAGAGGCAAAAGACGTGTTTCAGTTTTTAATAAAACTGCATTCACAGTATAAAATGAGCACAGTATAAAAAGAGGAGTAAGTTTTGCTTACATACAAAGAAGTATTACTTAAAACTTTAAACAATTTTTGTTTATTGACGTATGCACTTTGTATGTCATTTTTTTCCTCAAAATTATTTTTGGAAACAATTTAAGCTGGAAAACGCATTCTTATTTTACATTTCTTTAATCTTCACCCATATGTTCTTGTCCAGCTGAAGTTTCTTAGACTGTCTTTTATCAATTTGTGTGAAGCAAAATAACATATTTAATATAAGAAAATGGCAGTATAGAGTTTTTTTTAAATGATCAAATGTCCACAGGAAATTAGATCTGCCTTTTAATGTGTTTTTCTGTTTTCATCGACCTTCTTGTGTTTTTTTGCTGTATCATTACTCATTATATATGTCTGTTTTAGCAGTCTGGGTTTTTGCTGTTAAATTCGCTTTTTGTGTTTAATATTTGTCAGTTATTATTTAGGATAATAACATTTGCTTATATAAAATAGTCATTCTTGAACATTCATTTGGGTTTTCTGATTTGAAAAATAAATAATTGTAAATTGTACTTTAACTTTACACACTGATTCGACATAAGCTCGTTGAAATATTCATACATATGTATTACAATCGCCAAAATTGCATGCGTTACATGGTCTTCTACCATATAAAATCTGTGAACCAGTGTTAGCATTATGTCAGTTACACCTTTGTAAGATAAGAAAAGATAGGAGAAGAGAGGAGGAGAGGAGAGGAGTGGAGAGGATAATTGTTTATTGCAGTGACTTTGGTTTTTGGCGGTAATTACAAAACTATATACATATATAGCTATAATAATAATAATTAAGAATAATTAAGTCGCAGGTCTGTGAAGTTGTACTAGTTACATTTCAAAATAATACAAAGCATAGATTAGATGCTGCTTAGTTATTTTGCGTAATATATAACCGCTCAATGTCATTTTTATTTTATTTTTATTTAAATTAATTTATATTTATTTGTTATTGTTGTTGTTGTTGTTGGTGGTGGTGGTGGTGGTGGTGGTGGTTGTGGTGGTGGCGGTGATGGTTATTCACGTGAATCCTCAATTACCAACAGAAAGTAGTTGATTATTCGAACATTACATGTATTTCTCTCAAAACACAAAGTAATTTTCAGTAATATAAGTCTGATAGATTAATTCTACCAAATGCACTCCGTCTACCTTTACATCCACATTTATTGAATGGAATAAAAATAGATAATTAACATGCTATTTGTGAAATATCTAATATTTTTATTACAATCTTCAACGATCTATCTTTAGTACAATGTAGAGAAATCTATCAAGTCTTGTATTCAAATATAGAAAGATGTAATTCAGAAATTAACGAAATTGATACTTTTATCTTATATTCTCAATCAATAGTGAAAACAGAAATGTAAATTTCTCTATTGCTTATCTTGAAGAGAATATAAGAGAGAATTGATATAAATAAATCAATTCAAAAAGGTGTATAACATAACGTAACAAAATGTTTTATGATATTTTGCATTGCTTTATTTCTAAAATATTTATTCTAAGCATTACAAAACATTGGTGAATTAAATCAACTGGTAACTACTTTTTATCAAAAATCAGAATCAATTTTGTTCCACGTATAATGAAGTATCATTCTGGCGTTGCAATATGTTTGTCAGTGTACTTCGACTCGGTCTGCAAACAAGATAATTCCAACGTCTGTCCCTGAAATATTATATGTAAATGAAAAACAAACAAACAATATAATGTAGATAGTCCGAAAGCAATATTATTAAACTGAAATAGTTAGTTAATAGGAATCATAGTTTCATTGCAATCGATTTTAAAATATGTTGTTTTCTTAAATATATTTATGAAATCATATAATTACTCACTGCATGCTCATAATTATAAGCATATAATTAATAAAACAATGCTTTCTTTAAAGATATCTGAATAATTGTGACCTTTTAAATGGAGCAAATTTGTAATTTTGAACATGAAACTACAGTGGATGAAATTTTTGAGATCCTCTTCTTATTTATATGAGAAAATAGGAGATTTAGCTTCAAATGATCCCATTACATAGACACACTTGAAAACGTCTACAATAAACAGACATATCAGTATTCATTATCATTTATGAAGAATGAGATTCATACTCGTGGTGATTGCTATGTTCTGACCAAACACCTGCGGTTATATGATTATGCTGGGTGGTAAAGTCTTGGTGACCATCCCAATTGTTTGTCCATCCAGTGAATGTGAATTCGTGAGAAGGAAGGTACAAGCCTAAAATCAAAAGAGCATATGAATTTATACTGTTTTTTGTTCAAAGAGAGGCGACTCCTTGTTTATTTTGATTGGTTATAGATTTTCCGTTTGCAGTTATGTGCCATTCACACAATATGTCATCATGTATAACAAATAAGCATCATGGTGAAAACACAAACAGTCATTATTTAAGTACCGTATTGTAAACAATTTTACGTTTTTTAAGATTTTAGTGAAAAATTATTGTGAATAAAATGATATTATAACCTATCAATACAGATATATGTATGTACTTTTGTCATAAACATATTTTCAACGTAACTAATAATATTCACTATAATAGGTATAAAATAAAATGTACAGGATAGTTCTAAATATCCGTTCTGCAACCCACAAAACATGCATACACTGCTTATAATTAAAAGTTTGTTAATTTTTTTTCTTAACTGCAAGAAATTACAATGGATTATGTCATAATTATTCATGCGTTCCTAAATTTCCTATATGTAAAATTTAAAAATAACATATTCAAGTTAACCAGTTTTACTTCGGTCGAGTATATTTTTTGAAAGATACTTTTTGTTTCCATTGATTTCTGACATCACCTTTGGGCATTTGTCTCCCACTGCTGATTAAGAAATCATGTTGGATATGTAGCCGGTTATTTGTGGAGAAATTGTTTATTTCTGATTAGTATTCAATAAAAGCCTTTTAAATTGACAAGCCGCCGAAATGATGAAATAAGTGTCAAAGACAGACAAATAAAATATGAAACAAAGGATATTACCTTGAACCGTGCAACAGCGAATTTTCCATTTCCTATCCTCGTGATGATTGCTATGAATACTCTTAAACCCATTTATGTAACCACTGTTCCCGCAGGTAAATGTTAGAAATTCATCATAGTTGTTGAGGTAATCTAAATATAACATTAGAATATGTCTTGAAATACCGTAACAATTAAATCATTTTGATTTATCACCAAAATTGAGGTCTTGTTTTTCTTAATCCGCAGTTTTTTCTGAGTAAAAAAAAGTGAAAGGTCTATTTGCAGCCATAAAAAAATTTAGAAAACTGAAAAAAGTGTTCCTGGGTTTAGTGAACACACCTATTCGGTTACTTATTGAGTGATTAATATTAGGGGGAAAAAACAGACAAAACGAGCAAAAATGTATAACACAATTTTCAGTAAAACCAGGACCCACTTTTATTAAAAAATTACAATTTGTATATCTTTCTAAACTTTTCTGTAACGTATATGAGTTTTCATTTATTTATCTTTTATAGTGGCTTATAAATATTTTATCATTCTTATTGTGACTACTTTTTGATGTTCTAGAACGAAAAATGACATATAATGTTTATGACATTATATTCATGGCACGCATTATTACTTTTAATAAAGTGTTTTAAATTAAGTTGCTTACCTGTCCAATGGCATCTTGTTGTTTCGAATTTGACATATCTAGGTGTTTGTCTGCAGCACATTTTGTACCTTCTATCTTCTTTATCATTTCTATGATCACTCTCGATATGTGATACAAACTGGTCACTCCCACATTCAAAATTTAACGGACCATCCCAATCATTGGCCCATCTGCAGGCCAGCAGTGTTGGACAGAAGTACAACCCGAACAGAGCAACAACAAACTTAAGCGTCTATGAATACAATGAAACAGATAAATGTTTTTTTATTAGTGATATTGTTAAATGGATCGGTTTAGGGTAGTTTACATGGAGATCGTGTTTAATTATGTGATAACATGAAAGCATTTTAAAATAATATCACTTTTGAGATTTTAAAGAAATCATTTACTTGGAGATCGAGTTTTTAATGATAACACGAAGGCATTCTAAAGCATTTTATACTTTATAAGAAACGCTCTTAAGGTATATACAATAAACGTGTTGCTGAATTTTAAGAAATAGACCAGTACAAATTCAAATTTAGATAATGTAATTCATTTTAATATGAACTGTTGTAAAATCTAACGTCTTTAAACATTAAATGAAATAATTTACTGAATAAGCATTTGAATTAAGCAAAACAACGTTTACTTTTACAACATATTATGCTGAATGAATTAAAATAATCTTTACTTACCATAGCAATGTTTCAAATGTTTTCAGCTTTTTGTTTGAATTTCTGTCCATACTCACATCTTTATTTCGTCCTATATATATATAGTTTGCGTTTGACTAACATTACAGGTTAGTTCAGTATATTCATTTTAACTTTTAAAACTAGTTTTTGTATATATGATAATATATCGTTTCATGTGTAAAAATGGTTATTCATATCATATTTTAAAGGCACGCGTAATTTTTATTCCTTAGACAAGTCAAACATGTGTTTAATAATGTTTCAATAATGGATTCGAGCATTTTAGATGTTAATTGCCTCAAGAAAGTAGATTTCAATGAGCAGTAATGTGTCATTAAAGTAGCAAAATATAAACATATTAGTATTTTGACTACCATACAAAATACTAAATGACTGTTACCAATGTCCAAAAAGCAAAAAGGAGAAAATGTAGTCCATCTATATGGCTTTAGATATTGTATCAAAATACCAAATATCATAATGACAAATATACATTTCTGCATATTGAAAGCTTAATGGGCTTTTATGGCGATTTTGAAACCTTTTGAAACATGTCTGTAAATGTTACTTAAAAATATGTAGATATTTGGTTTAGTGTAACCATTTATCTTCTTTTATGAAAGACAGAAAAAGAAAAACGTTAAATTAGTTTAAACATATTTCATTCCAGAACATATACAACACAAGATATACATAAATTCAACTTTACACTGAGGGAATGTATTAGACCGAAATATATAAAATTTTGTAGAATTCTTTTCCAAAAAAAGAAATTAACATATGTTTACTTTTATACATTTACAAAAGCCATCATTTTTTAACTGCATAATAGAAATACTGGTGGAACTAATATTTTGATATGAACAGTATTCAATAATAATCAATCATCTTAACTATATATTTATCAAAATTGATTGTCTTAAAGGTCAACGTCCGAAGGAGGATTGAAAAACAAAATGCATCCTGTTTGTAAATTATTATCGCTTTCATCTTTGTCAAAATGTTATGACTTTATTTGATTCAAATGTTTATGTGCGTATGTCTCTAAATTATATCCTTGATTGTTTTAACCTAAATAACAGATAACGTGATTGCACTTTATAAATGTATAATCTCAAGGTCAAATGAATTATTTTTTTATTTTCGTTAAAACGTTTTTACTCAGAACTTAGCATTAAAAGTTTTATACGTAATAAAGGAGCCGGACGGTGCTTAATATTAATCTTAAAAAAGTTAAATTAGAATGAAATCTATAATCAATCAATCAAAATTGTAATGTAATGTTCTGTAATAATTTTGTTTTATGTCTTTCAATCGTGTAGCTTTTTATCTTGAGTTGTGCATATTAAAACTCATTAGGTCTAAAAATATGCTGTTTTTATTTTTTTCAAAATTGCCCTGTCATATTGTCCAAAAAGGTTACTCATTGGCCATATAACTGAGCCATCTTTTATTTCTTCTGCGCTTTGGAAAGAAAAACAATTATTAGTGATTTGATATTTGTGTATGTATTTACTAAGTCGAAATACTACCGGTACTTATTTACATGTTGCTAATTTTATCAAAAATTATTCCTCATTCAACCCTATTATCTTCAGGCAATGGACATCTCGCATGTTTTATTGATATAAAGATTCAACCATTTATTGTCAAAGATAGTCACTCGGTTATGGACGTCTGCCTGTGCTTAGCTGAAAAGGGTAAGCATCGAATTCGAATCCTGTGGGTCTTTAAAAACTAAGATAAGGTCATGTTGACATCTGAGACGAAACATAAACGTAACGTAGTAGATTTTATTAAGGTTAGTGATGCGTCATGTTCAATTATTTTCATTTTTTTTTGCTTCGAAAGTGTTTAGATGTCTGAAGATGTCTCATCAAATTATTCGGACATAAAATACTTTATGCATAGGTTATGGTAATTTCGCGATAATTGGACATCTTTTATGTCGGCTTTAGATAGAGTTTTTCTCATATTGTGTCTGTTCGGTAACCATAAAGGGAACTCATGCATAAATTATAAAATCACCAGTGACTGCTTATGAATAAGATATACACAATTTGCGTTCTTTTTGAAATAATAATAAAAATGAATAAATAAATAATGTGTTTTTATCAATATATGTATAATGCAGTTCCCTTGTAGGTAACGTATTTTCATTAAACTCTTTCGAATATATATGTTAATGTTTGTTCGAAATATAAAAGCCTCTACGGCTCAGCAATACCAGACACTTGTCCATGGCCCCTAGAAAAATAACAATTTCATTGCCCGAATCAGCACTTATGTTTGCAGCACATTGCTTATGAATCATTACACATATGTTGCTTAAAAGCTCGATGGAATACTTAGCAACTCAACTTTTAGCCTATATAAGGCATTTGGCCATAAGTTGTGTTACCTCACCTACATATTTGAGAGTGAAATAGGCATATACGGGTGGTACTTTTATATTCCTTAAGCATACACTTTTAATTTGTAAGTTTGTGGCGTGCTCAACCGTCCATTGTCCTATACATCACTATACATCAATTTCTTTATATTAGAAAGCTTGTGGCCTTCACATAACGTCCCAATAAGGCGAGGAGAACTTTTTTTCTACATTGATATATAGATATATAAACTGACCTAATGATATTTGCACAAAATGATTATGAAAGATCTTAACATATAGAAATTCATTTATTGGTTATTTGTTGTTTGCGTAATCTATCATTTTAACTCCCGTAGAAATGTTGAAAAGAGAACCCTTGTATAAGATTACGAACCGTTTACTTTCGAGTGCAAAACAAACACTTCCTTATCAAATTAAAGTGAAATAAAATACGCAAAGCAAATAAATAGAACCAAAAGCATTTGGCATGTTTTAAACTCCATGTAAAGATGTAAAGTTTTTTGGGTTTGTTTGTTTATTTGTTGTTGTTGATGTTGTTGTTGTTGTTGTTGTTGTTGTTGTTGTTGTTGTTGTTGTTGTTGTTGTTGTTGTTGTTGTTGTTGTTGTTGTTGTTGTTGTTGTTGTTGTCGTCGTCGTCGTCGTTGTTGTTGTTGTTGAAAATGTTATTGTTATTGTATTGAATCGATATAGAATGGACCTGAATTTGGAAGATGTATCTTATAAAATTTTCTACTTTCTATTTTCTGATGGCAATTAACTTTCGGTCTGGAACAAGGAAGAGACAATTTCACAAACAATTGTTCTCACGATCTATCAAACATTGTTTTTGCTGTAAGTGACATTTACGGTATTTTGATTGGTTGGTGATTTATATATTGCGACATTTTGTGGAATCTTTTCCGACAAATTATCAACGCGGCGTCCTAAATTTATGTCTTTCACTGTGGTATTATTGTCTAAAATGCAAATAATCAGCCCTTGATATATAAGGAAAGTGTCAGAAAAATTTGGTTTGATTTACAGCAGAAATGTCTGATCTTTGAATTTTCTCCCTCATTTTTCTCATAACAGTTCTGCTGATCAAACAATTTTCGCAAATGAAGACGGATCATTTCTAGAATTTTGAAACACTTGAACATAATTACAATTAATATGTACCTTCAAATTTAAAAACATAACTGTACATTCAAAAATATTTTAGTTTAAACTTATACAAATGTTATAATTCACAGTATTACTTGAAAAAAAATGTAGTTTTCTATAAATTGTGATATCTTTTCTGTAACAGTATCTTGTTTGAATCAACATTTCTTCGTAAGCTAAAGCTAGTTTATTTAATCTTTGTTTGTTTTAAACTTTCCTTGATTATTTTTATATTTTATTCAAAGTAGCATTTGAGTTTTTATGATGTTAAACAATCCAGTGGTTATATAACATATAATCTGCTGAATATATTAAAAATAATTAGTTTAAACATACTTTTATTAGTTTATTTCGAACAAATTCACAATATATATACAGACAATAATGTACACAATACAAACATGAATTGTTGAAAAGGGATTGGGTCCGAAAGCTGAGCTTATAAAGGCCTTCTCCTTATAGATTTACAGTGCATAAAATACGGTATGACAGTATACATGACTTGCTTGAAATATATCTGATTTTACATTATCAAAAATAATTGATTAATCTGTGGTCAATTGGATATATACATGTATGTGTTGGTTTTTCGGCTGTACTAAAGAAAAATCTTAATACTACTTTAGTATTTATATCGTCTCACCGATGTAGATTTGAATCCCATCGGATCTTTCGGATTCTTTCATATCATAAACAATTCGGTTTGCTTACGGAACGTCGGTGGTTTACTCAGATGCCCGTTTGTGTCTGAAATAATGTACAAATTGGCACTAATGTCTTCCTCCACCAGTTAAGCTGGAAAGTCGCCATATGGCACTGACAGTGTTGGCGCATATACAACAATGTCAACGAATTATTTTCGACGAAATTTTATTGACCTAAATATGAGAAAATAAAAAGGTAACCTTAATATTCCGATACATTCCTGTCTGCATGACAAGAGGTATGTTAATTTCTAAAACTATAAACCCATTTCCAAGGCGGCTCATTGCATGTAACAATGTCATGACATAAAGTCAACAATATTGTTCAAACAATTCTAGAAAATAGAACCCTTATTTCTTAAAAGATAGTCTCTAAATATTGACATAGTAGTACTAAACCATATTGCAAACATAATCTCATTTTTTCCAGAGAAAAACAAACATAAGAAAAAACTGTAGTGGTATGATTTCCCTAGAGATTCACACAGACACTACACTGTATTTGATTAAACTTGTAAAGCCATCTCGATTATAGATATGTGGCTTTTAGAACGATTTGTGTGTATTATACTGTCTTATTTTCTCTGACAGTTTTGTAATCTGCAATGAACAATGGATTAAGACTAATGTATCTTCAAACTGATCTATTTAGGCGGTGAGAAATGAATTCAGTCTGTTACACATTGGTGCAGTCTGGCTACGTTCAATACAGTATTTTTGGGGAAAGGATGTGTGCGTCCTGACTGTGGGAAACAAAAACTGATGGTATGAATTTAAATCTTATGTCAACCGTATTTTTGATGTTGGTTATTTTGGAAACTTAATCAAAACTAAAATAAAAGTGACAAATACTGTTTATATTTAATAAAATGTGTTTGATCACACTTAGCATGGTAGTGGATAATTAATAAATAACTATCATGATCATTTTTTCTATGAAATAATTTAACCGGTTAAAATCTGTTCAAAAAGTATTTACCTTTAATATCCTAAATATGTGCAAAGGGATTATCATCGATTGAACTAAGAATCATATGTTGTTGTTGTTATCCCCCGCCGATGGAATTGGGAGGGGGATATTGTTTTGGCGTTGTCCGTCCGTCCGTCCGAATTTCGTTTCCGGACTAGTTCTCTGCAACTACTGCTTGGAATTAAACGAAACTTTATTGAAATCATCAATATCAAGAGGAAATGCTCAAATCGTCAGCTTGTTCCAGTCGGACCCTTAGACTCAGAGTTATGGCCCTTGATTAGTTATGCAGTATGGATATAGAACAATATTCGTTTCTGCACTACTTCTCTGCTACTACTGGCTTGAATTCAATGAAACTTTATGTTAACCTTCAATACCAAGCGGAGATGCGCATATCGTCGCCTTGTTCCGGTCAGACACTTTAACTCAGAGTTATGGCCCTTGATTAGTTATGCAGTATGTATATAGAGCAAAGATCGTTTCCGCGCTACTTCTCTGCAACTACTAGCTGGACTTCAACAAAACTTTATGGGAACGTTCAATACCAAGAGGAGATGCCAATATCGTCGCCTTGTTCCTGTCAGACACTTTAACTCAGAGTTATGGCCCTTGATAAGTTATGCAGTATGCATATAGAGCAAAAAATCGTTTCCGCGCTACTTCTCTGCAACTACTGGCTGGAATTCAACAAAACTTTATGGGAACCTTCAATACCAAGAGGAGATGCGCATATCGTCGCCTTGTTCCGGTCAGACACTTTAACTCAGAGTTATGGCCCTTGATTAGTTATGCAGTATGCATATAGAACAATATTCGTTTCCGCGCTACTTCTCTGCAACTACTGGCTGGAATTCAACAAAAGTTTATGGGAATCATCAATATCAAGAGGAGATGCGCATATAGTTGGCTTGTTCTGGTCAGACACTTTAACTCAGAGTTATGGCCCTTGATTAGTTATGCAGTATGCATATAGAGCGAACTTTATGGGAACCTTCAATACAAAGAGGAGATGCGCATATCATCGCCTTGTTCCTGTCAGACACTTTAACTCATAGTAATGGCCCTTGATTAGTTATGCAGTATGCATATAGAGCAATAATTGTTTCCGCGCGACTTCTCATCAACTACTGGCTGGAATTCAATTAAACTTTATGGGAACCATTAATACCAAGAGGAGATGTGCATATTGTTGCCTTGTTGAAGTTGTTCAGACCAGACCCTTCATTACAGAGTTATGACCCTTGATTAGTTATGTAGTATGCATATAAAGCAATATTGCTATTTCTTTGCAACTGCTGTATTGATTTCAACCATGGATACACAAAGGCAATTTACATCTCATTGGCATGTCCAGATATTACTATTTAACACAGTTATGGCTCTGTTAGTGCCCTGAATATTTATCAAGTACAAAAAATATTACTGTTTATGCCATGATAAATATATAAATAAAGCCTTATGTCTTCAGTTGTTGTGTTAGTGTGTTAGTAATAACCAGTACTCGGCGGGGGACATAACTTCAACGAATTTGCTTGTTTTGTTTTGTTTCTTTTCGTTTTGTTTTGAGGTATTTCAAACTGACTTGGCTGAAATTCAGCATAAAACAAACCAAAGTTTACGAACCTTAAACTTCATATATTCAAGATATTTAAAACAATGCTGATAAAGTTCCAGGAGATTTTTGTATGGACATATAATGTTTTGTTCTTTCAGAATTGATTATCTGTTATATATAGAAACACTATGGTAGAAAAGACCTTCCATTGTCATCCCATTGCACTTCAAAAATAATGGAGGGAGGGAATAAACAAGATAGTCAACTATGAAACCTAAATATATGGATAGAAATTGTGTAACATCATAAAGTAATAAGGGGAAAAATTATATTTACTTTTCAAGGCTGGTTCAAATGTCGTAAAATAGTTCTCAAAAAAATGCTATGAAATCCATTTAAGTGTGTTATTCCATATCTATGTCTTCGTCATTTCGTGTGTGGAATTCCCCTGTCAGTTTTGAAGAATGATCTGCCTAGGATATGCAATAAACGTTAATGTTAACTTTAACTGAATAACGGGTTTGGTCACGCTTTAAAAGGAAACTTATTATTTATCTTGCATCATTAACATATAAATTTTGAAGTACGTTTTGTCGGAAAATATTCATTTAAAAGTGTCGAAAGTGGATGATTCTCTTAGTTCAAAGAAAAAATTTCACAGTACTCCGTTTCTTTGAGACTGTGCCTGATTGTGAGATTATTTTTGTGGTTGGCTTCAAATCACTTTCCCCTCTGTAGGTTCGAATCCCGCAAGGGGCATTGGTTTCTTTCAAAGGTCTAAGGTCGCCGTATGATTAACAGTGTTAATGCGACGTAAAACCTAACAGAAATGTGTTTGAGAGATGATAGAAAGTACCATAAAATACACATTGTATTTTTATTTTTTCCGATCACATTTAAGTCTACAAACGGCTGAAATTCAACGTGGTAGATTTATGTTGAACGTAAAATAGGTACTCTCGAACAAAGTAGCAATTATAGACAATTCTGAATTTTACAACAGTCGCTCCCTTGGCAAAAGCGGCTGCCCTTTGTGGTGCAAGTATTCAATATATAGAACTAAATGATATTTTTATGTAAATCATCAATTCCTTAATGTATATAAAGAAACATGTTATTATACATGTAGCACAAGAATTTAAAAGGCTTTTATCTTCAAAAAATTGAATCGAGAGATTTTATATAATCCTAGGCCTATAATATAGTGGCAAAGAACGATGGGAGGTAATTCTTGCTATAACAAGCTCATTTGTTGGTACACAGTCATGGAACATTCATTTTGAATGGTGCCGAAAGCGAATTAACTAGCAACTGTTTAACATGCGAGTTAAAGTTGATAAATTCAATGCCTTGTAGCTTTGGTTGACAAGTTATATGCAACATTTTTTTTAAATTTCGCCGCGTTTGGCGACGTTCATTGTTTCTTCTTTTAATTATTCCTGTCAGAAAATTGGTTGTTTTGAAACAAGGACAAGTGTTATAAGAGTTTAAAGTGATAAATGAAGTTATCAAGAATGTATTTCTCGAGTCATCAAGTTATAAGTAATGTCAAAGTTTCTTATTTAAAAGTACTCGTATAACCCTCCCCCCGTCTAATCATGATCTGCATTGTTCACTATTCAGTCAGTACATATTTTGGCATTTTCCATAAAATGATACATGATTTTGTCCAGATTGAAAGATAGGCAATAAGCGTGATAATGGTTAAAAAATAATCTAAACAGCCAAAAATAAATAAATCTAAAAATACAAATTGCTCAATAGATAGAGCGTTGAACTTTGAGTCGGGCGACCCGGGTTCGATTCCAAGACGATGCAAGTCAATTTCTTAGTGGTTGAACATGAAATCCTTTCTACGGTCATTCGCTCTGGCATATACAGAAGTTTCAGTTCCTTGTGAAAGTGAAGGCAACTGGTTAACAGCTTGACAGCCTGTCCAAGAACGACGCGGTGACTTTACTTTGCTCTGGTAAATTCAATTTGGCTTACTGTCGTGATCCGGAGTGAAAACTACCAATACCACCACTGCCTGATTAAGACTCCCTCTTAACATTAAATACAAATGAAACAAACGCATGCTTTCAAATTTTACATCAGCTTTTAATCTTTCTAATTATTTTAGTACAATATATATTGTTAGTTTATCTATAGAAAGTTGACAAAGAAAAGAATCTGTATCCGAAGTCTTTATCTATTGCAGCCTGAAAATACAACGAATGTATGATGAATATTTAAATCTACGGTAACTCATCGGGGTCATTTGTTTGTTGCAACGTCTATAAAACACATAGAGCATATTCAAGTTTTTTTCTATAAATACAGGATTTTTTTCACCGAGTGGCATGAAAATAAATATTTCACGAGTGGTTGTAGCCATGAGTGAAATATGATGATTTTCGTGTCACAAGATGAAAATAAATCCTATATTTATAGAAAAGAATAAATTTCTGTCTATTTTCTCTTTTTTACATCATAATTTGAAAACTTTTCACTAAAATTTTGAGTTTTGGCTGAATTAAGGATAAAGTAGTCCAGCAAGACACCGATGAATATACGGAAAATATGTTTCATTGCAGTGACAGATTTTTACAGTGAAAATACAGAAAATGAAAATACCTATTTTATTTCATCAATATTTCTCATTATTTTATTTATTAGTACATGTTTATAATAAAGATTGTTATACAGGTATGTGTTTAACTGTAAGTTTTCGTTTTCCGAAAAAAAGATATGCTTTATTAAATTGCTTAGAGGCACATTATGTTTTTTAAAAATGTCTTTAAGAATGTTTAAATTATAGTTTAAGAGCATGTTTAGATGTTTTACAACCTAAAAAGTAGCGCTGAACATGCAGCTATGTGTCGTGAAGGTAGCAAATTGTAAATGAAGTAGTATTTTGACTTCCGTAAAAAAATACTAATTCCCTATGATTATAATAACTGCCAACAGAGCTAAAGATGCAAAAGATATTTCAGATATATAACAAATGAGTATATTTTTGGAAACTGTAGCAAGATACCAAAAATAAACAGATTTTCAGAAATAAAAATGATATAATTTCTGAGGCATAATGGGCCTTCAAAAATTGAATAAATATTTGCTAAAGTGCAAAATACATTATATATATAGAGAGAGCTTAAATTTCGGAACTAAAGGTTAAAAACACCAGTCATCTGAGTATACAAAACTTACTTTGTTTATTTCACAGTGAAGACCACTCCTTTTGTAGATTGTCAAGATACCAAAGATGCTATCATCATCGTCACACTCATCGTCTTCGTTAGCTTTGTTTAGTTCACAGTGAAGACCACTCTGTTTGTAGATTGTCAAGATACCAAAGATGCTATCATCATCGTCACACTCATCGTCTTCGTCAGAGGAAATATCAACGGCTCTATTCTGTTCAGCTGTTTCATCTGCTTCAATATTATCTCTGATAGCTATTCGTTCTATATCGGCAGCTGCTTCTTCTGGTTCGAATTCTATATTTACTCTTGCCTCATCAGTTACGAAATTTTTATTTGCGTTATCTGATTCTATGCATTCCTTTCTGTTGTATAACTCTTTCTCAACAACAATGCCATGTGACAATTCTTCTAAATTTGCATTACTAGTCTGTGGAACATTGTCTAATGTCATTCCTTTCTCTTCTTTGTGAGTAATTGCTTCACCTGACACAGTTTGAAATGTGTCAAATGTTAAGAATTCTGATTGATCACTTCCAATGGATAGTATACCACTATCCTTTTCATCAACTTCCGCTGGTATTGCTCCTTCAGATAGTAAAGTGACATATTCTGCTGTTTCAATTTCTACATTGTCAGTTTCTGAAATGTAGGCTTCGTCGATATCGTCATTTTCTGCAACTCGGCCTTCGCTTAGATAATTAATCATAACATATTTCTCAATGAAGCAGGGCTGCTTTGAAAATGAGACGTCATTAATTGTGTAGGTTTTGTTATTTTTCCGTCTTTCTCTCAGTTTTTGACGTCTTTCTCTCAGTTTTTGACGTGCTCCTTTGTAGTTTTGTTCCTGTCCCTTTATTGTCAATAATGTTACTTCACTAAACATTTGGGAATCTTGCATTGACTTTTCAAAATCTTCTTCAAAGTTCGTGTCGTTTGCATTTATCGAAAATGACCCAATTTGAAATTCAGGTGTCAAAAAATTCAAAAAAGCTCGACTTATACCTGTTTCAGCGTCAATTAAAATTGCTAACATTTCATTTTGATAATCTATATCAATTGTATCTAAAGATTGTCTGTCCAATGAAACAGCGGCGTTTGTTGCATTGAAACTGTAATTAGGACGCGAGTACAATTTCATATCAATATTCATATTTGGTACAGTCGGGCCTTTAAAGTCTTGCTTGGGTTTTAGTAATGAAATATTTCTAATACCTGGTATAGAAACCATTTCCATTTCCAATGCGGCATGCATGCTGTCAATGACACTTCTAACATCTTCGGATTGAGCTTGTCTTAAAAGTAGTCCATTTTTTGACAATCCCTTTGCAGCTTTCGATATTGTCTTACCATAAAATGAGTAAACATACCGAAGCAAGTATCTGTCAATATCGTGTCTGTTTGAAATGTCTCCGATAAACTTATCTTCATCTTCGACCAAAGGCTTTCTTAATTCTTCAAGTTTACTTTCTATAGCATTCTCATTTTTAGCTATTCCTTTATACATTCTTTTCATAAACTTCTGGGTAGCACGTTTGACTGATGTTTTGATTTCTTTCCCATCTTTAACATCAGGCTTCTCTATAAAGATTCCTCGTCCATTTCCAATACCAATATGTAATGCAACTCTGTCGAAAGTGGCACTGATTGGAATAATTATGTCATCATTGTTTGGACTTATGAGGATATCTGAAAACAAAAATATGTTTGCATTTTTTTACTTTATATTGGAATGCATGAAAATAAAAGTGTAAACATGACTAAACTATTCACAACTAACGTAAAGATCTGGTAAAAAGAATGGAAGCGAATTGTTAGAATAATAAAAACAACATTAGTATATAAAATTCCCAGTGTCCGCATGAATTGCATAAATATGTGAACGCTGTATAGATAAGAAAATTGAGCTTTCTACATACAAGCCCCACACACACGAACAATTGCATATTGCATCTTGCAGACGTTTCGACTAGATACCTTAATTAGTGCAAAACGTAACATATATTTTCCTTTACATATATCCTAGAACTACGTATACGATTGTGGGGTTTTCTACATATATTCAATTATTGCATGAACATTTAAACAGTTGATAAATATTATAAGAAAGTCGGATTTTCTACACATATTTAAAAATGTGATGAATATATTAATGTTTTATTTTTCGGAATATCCATTTTCTTTTCAAGATGTATTCAAAAACTGCTTAAATATATGAACATGATTTGAATTACAAAGTCAAGTTTTGTTTTATTGAATCCAAGAATTCAATAAATATGTAAACCTTATAATATAAGAATAAGAAATTCCTAGTTTTCTATATACATTTGTCTATTTAAGAATGCCATAAATATTTAAATATTTTATTATTAGGAATGTCGAGGTACAAATATATTCAATAGTTGCATAGATATGTGAACGTTGTATGAATAAGTTATTCAAGAATTGCATATAATATAATTATGTGAATGTCGTATAAGTCATTCAGGAATTACCAATCATCTTTTCTATCGAAAAGACTTACGTGGACATGTACGTGTAAAACAGAAATAGCAGACGACAAGACATTGTTTTACAAAGTGAACTGGTGGATTTAGAGCGGTAGTAGTAGTTGCCAACAAAATAACTCCCTGACCTATAAGCTGGACCATATTTTGTTTTGTTGCTTATAAGCAATTAGTTAAGTTATGGTGATTTAATAATTTGTATGGAAGTCAAAATACAACTGTTTTATTCAGTATTCAGTATTGAACCTACACTCATTCAATATCCTCTATTTTTGCATGCAGTAGTGCGAAGCGTTAACGAGAAATTAATTTAATTTAGATTGACTCATTCAGTATGTGTTTCACAATTGTCATCTAAAACACAAATAGAGAAAAAGGCGCGAATATTGTAATTTCTAATGTTTAAATATACAATGAAATTCCTTTAAATGTGCATTTATTTAAACGTCCGTCATGATTTTACAACTTTTCTTCCATTTCTTAAATAAATACGTATCTGCTATCATGTGGAGGCATTTAGCCGTAACCATGCTCTATTTGTTACGTCACAGACAAAACTTAGACGTCCAATCCCATTTCATTTGAGAGTTATTGTATGTGACGTCAAACATCTACTACCGAACAAATTTATTAAAAGACATTTTTACAATGCGATTTTCCCTAGCAACGGAAGTAGCAATTCGCGCGTGCGCAATTTCCAAGAGCAAAATAAAACGAAACATTTTCTACCAGCAGTAAAATTAAATTAACTCTTTCTTGTATTTAAATAAGTGTCATTTTAATGCTTAACTGGGACACAACTTCCTATAAAAAAAGAGACTCGGTAAAGATGTGCGAAAGTAGGCTAAAGCCATACAGCATTGAACTCTTTATTTAGAAGCCTATGGACTTTATTCACTTTTTACTCTCGCACTCAAGGCTTATGTGATTTTTTAAGTTATGTCACCCAGAAACAGAAGCTTGACATGACTAAAAGCGCATCATTTGATATTTATAACAGTATATTTCATTTATAGGGGAAAATTGAATTTTCTGTTTATTATATTTTGATTTTTTATATTCTCTTCTTTCCTTTTTACGTTAATTTGAAATGCTTTCCCTTAAATTATGTGTACTGAATTTAGAAGGAAGTATTCCAGTAAGACACCAGTGAAAATACGAAAAATGTGTTTCACTAAATAAATAAATACCTTTATTTCCTCCAATATTGAAGAGCATAACATATTTACAGAGGTGAACATAGAAATATACATAAACAAGTATAATACATATTAACAAAATAGTATATCCAATTTAGCATCGTTCATATAAAACAAATATAACAAAATTAATTTAACATACAATTTGTCTCATGAGGTGTTATTTTGTCTTAAATGTTAACTAGTATACTTATCAAGGATCGTATATAGCTCAAGAGGTAAGTATCAAATGTACAAACAGTTATCAAGGTATCATATATTGCCCAGGAGGTAAGTATCAAATGTACAGACAAATATTAACTAGTATACTGTACAGACAAATATAAACTAGTATACTTATTAAGGTATCATATATAGCTCAAGAGGAAAGTATCAAATATACAGACAAACATTAACTAGTATACTAACCAAGGTATCATATATATCTCAAGAGGTAAGTATCAAATGTACAGACAAAAATTAACTAGTATACTTATTAAGGTATCATATATATCTCAAGAGGTAAGTATCAAATGTACAAACAAAAATTAACTAGTATACTTATCAAAGTATCATATATATCTCAAGAGGTAAGTATCAAATGAACAGACAAAAATTAACTAGTATACTTATCAAGGTATCATATATCTCAAGAGGTAAGTATCAAATGTACAAACAAAAATTAGAGAAAAAAGAAAGTCACTAGTATCAGATATACAGGTTGTGTTGTGTGGATTGCAATATAGTTTGAATGTAATAGTTGAATTTTTATAATAGTTAACATGAAATTGTATATATTTAACCAAATATTATAAGAAGGTATATATCCGTGTTCTTGTGATAAACATCATTATGTCACATAGATTACAGTAATTTAAATTAGAAATAAAAAAACTGCTTATAGCATTAATTTTTATCCTTATAACATTATGTTGGCATATCTGTCATATTTGACAAAAGTCTATGCGGACGAAAACGAAAACGTATAGACTGATGAGATGACAATTACATGATATCATGTTATATATAAATATAGTTATACTATTTAGAGTTGGTTCCTATTTTGTTAGTTTTACAAGTCCTGTATTAGGTATTTATTACACCGAGTTAATTCCGGCTTTTTGTTCATTATAGAGACCTGGAACTCTATAAGATTTCACAGTCACCCTCCAGGTACCAATCTTTTCTAGTTTGTGCGGATCTTTAAGAGATTACGAATAGACTTCGCAACTCTATAATTGCGCAACGCTAGACTGTCATTATCAGATGCTAGCCGGAAACATTGCCAGCATTGTTCCTCAGGTGACAACGCAAGAAGGTCTATAAATGTTGTCATTCCGCATTCCTCAATGACTGAGTCCCACAATCTGATTATATTGTTGTTGTTTACCGTACAGAAGCACATCAAGTGTACGATTTGATTTTCGCAAAGCCTGTTGCATTTTCTACATGTTACAACATATGACTGGGACATAAAACTACCTATAGTTTCCATTAAAAAAGAACACATATACGCCGTTTTAGGGTTGTTTCTTGATACATACCACAGCGTCGCTGGCAATGAATACTGGATTATTCCACATAGCTCACGTCTTGACATTATTAATCGGTCAACACGCGTGTAAGTTGCAGTATTTGTAATGGCTGAGCGTCAAGTAACTTTCCATGCATATTTCGAAGGGAATACGCCACTTTCTAAATATGAGTAAAGGACACTTTCAAGATTATATTTCTGCAATAGTCTGTATACATCGGGTATAAATCCACGACTCTGATTGTCAAAGTTCAAAATAATACTTTATCAGTCGCGTAATGAACACTTGTTTTGCCAAATATTGGCAAAGCAGACGACATAATTGGCCTAAGAAATTTAGCTTTCTGTAGTTTATAAATTCTTCAATACTGTCAATATTTATTGAACTTAATGCAAAGTCAGTGGATGTATGGCGTTTAAATGTTTGCATAAACTTAACACAAAAGCGGTGAGACAATTCAAGTGTCCGAATGTCTGATGCTGAGTAAACATTCCATAACTCACAACCGTAGAGGGCCTTTGGGAGTACGACTGAGCGGTAGATAGTTCTGGATGTTATTGGGTTTATATGAGCTGGGTGAATGCCACTATTAACGATACTAAGCAATGTCCCACGTAGTTTGTTAGCAGCATCATAAAACAATTTCTTTGTCGACATATACTTATCACATTCGATGCCCAAGTGAGTGTAATATTCGACCTCATTAATACGCTCACGCCCAATATAAAATGTTCTATCCTCACTCCCCTCATCCTCATTGAAGACTATGATCCCACACTTCCCCGCATTGTATCTGTATCTCCACTGACGAGAGTACTCATAACATATATCTAACATCTTGTCCATACCTCCTTTGGAAAACGATACTAAATACATATCATCTGCAACGGTTGGTGAGCTAAGTTTAATATTATACATAACAAAGCCATAATCACTTGCTTCCAATTGTTTTATTAATCCGTTGATATAGACGAGGTAGCAGAGCGGAGAAGTTTTGCCCCCCTGACGGGTACCTTGAAGAACAGGGAAGCTGTGAGATATTAATCCTTTATGTCTAACACAACTAGTAGCGTCTCTATACATTTCCCGGATTGAGATAAGCGATGTTTTGTCAATGTTTATTAAAACCAACACAATAATGATTCAAGTGCGCATACATATAAAATATATCATCAGGCGACTTTTTAAATGGAGCAGCATATGGTGTTTGAGATATGAAAATATATATTACATTATGTTATATTATATAATTGGTACTGTATATTTTCTTTGATTATGATGACTACCATGCAGTATTACTTTCATTTTAATTTTTAGGGGTTATGCATATTCACTGTCACCAAGTCATTCAACTTTTTGTCTAAATTGCAATATAAAGCATAAAAGGCACATTATGCCTAAGTAAAAAATTTCACCCCCTTTAGAAAAAGCTGGGACATACGATAATCGTGTATCCCAGGAAAAAGCAAAAGGTTTTATAACGTTTGAATAATGGTTCTATGTATGTTACATGCTTATAACATAAAGAAAGCAGCACTGAATGTGAAATTATAAAAGTAACGAAATGTAAACAAAGTTATTAGTAGTATTTTGACTACCATACAAAATACTAAATGACTATATCTGTACTAATTGCTTAAAACCAACAGACACAAAAGATGGTTCAGGTAAATGGGCCATTAATTATAGAGAATATGGTAATGTAGGTTACTTCACTGACAGTCTAGAATCGAAAACGAAATACCAATAAGACACTGGTCTACTTTATTAGAAACTATGAATATTTTGTTATACTTTCGTCCAAATCGTCATGTTTCAGGAATCATAAATAGGCCTACAGTTATAAAAGCCCAGATATAAGTATAATTATATAAATATTGTTATTTTTTATATATCCGGAAAATTATGCATTATGCCTAGGTCACAAATAAAACGGGAGCCGTCCGATTAAACGATTTTTATAAAATCGGCAGATTTTTTGATGTCGTGGACGCCGTGCGATTTTAAATCTGATACCTTGCGTGGTCATGAATGAAACAGTCGTCGGGCGATTTTTTGCCGAGTGGATTTTACCGGATCATAAATCACATATTGTGATTTCTAATGTTAGAATATACAATAGAAGTACCTTTATATGTGTTTTTATCTAGTTGTCTGGTATTAATTCTCACATTTTCTTCCATAATTTACGTCTCTGTTAAAATGTGGCCGCATTTTGCGGTTACCATGCTCTATTTGTTACGTCACAGACAGAATTAGGACGTCCAATCACATTTGAGCGGTACTGTAAAAAGACGTCAAACGTCTTTTACCCAACAGACCGGTTAAGGCATATATATGTAAATGCTATTGAATACAGTCAAAATTATATTTTGTCTTTTAATTTTTAATATGTTAGAAAATATAGAAGAAATAAGTGAGCTTTAGGGGAAAGAAATCGGCATAATTGTGTTTTTGTCCCTACCCAACACAAAGGGAAATTTTAGCCGCTTATCTCAAATGTTGTTTTAATATGAATAAGTTGACAGCCACAAGTGACTAAAATGGTTTAGAGCTGGAATATTTGTTAGTTGTATAACAGGAAAAGGTCTATAGTAGAAATACCCGCAAGGTTAAGAAGGATATATTAATCGCTGGGAAAGAATAACAATTATCACAGTCAAACTGTCCCAGGCTGCACGTGAACATTGATCTGTATAGAAGCAAAGACTTAAATAACAGATATCATGGAGCTTTTTTATAGATGTATGTATATCTGTGCAGATATTAAATATAGATCTGTGGTAGAAGCATTATAAAATATAGATATGCAGCGAATTATTACTTAAATTGCATTGAAAAAAATCAGTTCCTAAATTTAGATATTTTCTTTCTTTTTTTTGTATATTCAAAGAAATAGATCTATGTATATCTGTTATACATCTAACTAGCTGGCCCTGCTTTAACTAACGTCCTCAAACAGCAGATCTCAATCTAAGTTGAGTTGAGAAAAATCTCAAATTTGAGCTGAGATTTTGACTTTGAGAACGTTAGTGCAACCCGGGCGACGGACATGAAGATGAAACTCCATGATCTAACAATAATATGGTATATTTTGTGTTGATTTGGAAAGCTACCACTGCTTACATTTTAGATTTAAATACTTTGTGACCCGCATCTACTTGATATGTAAAGACGACAACGTCCGTGCGTTAATTTTTCATTGACGACATATTAGCCTTGTTCTTTTTGAAAACAACAACAACAATTGCTGTGAATTTTTTCTCAAATAATTAATGAACTATGTATTTGTCGACAAAGGCAAAACCTGGTAGAAGTCTCTATACCAAAGGTAAGTATGCGAATATATCATGAACAATGTTTCCTTGATATAAATTTATCTGTTTTATAAACAAGCAAACAGGACGTTTCGTCCACAAACTAACTCGGCCCCAAGACGATCCGACCCTTTTCCGTGAGACACTTCGGCCCGTATGTTAGTTTAATTTTCAATTGTTTTAACTATTGTTTTGTTTGCCTTCTCTTGTAAATGTATTATAGTTATTGTCTAACCTTTTATCTCGTGACATGTTCTCTGGAAACTAAAAAGTTCATGTTTAGTTAAAGGGGTATTTCCAAGCAATATCATATCTATAATTGGGAAAATTATTAAGCATGTTTTGAAATTTGATAATTTATTTTAAAGGTATTTAATATTAAACTACATGATGCATGTATGACTTTTCAACGATTTTTACAGGTAGGTATACTTTGCAGATAGACTTTGCAAGCAAGTCTATAACTATTAATACTACTTTATTAGTTTTATATTTTTATTATTATTATTTTTATTTATTTCACATTGCTACATGTATCATACTTAAATTTCTAGACTACAGTCATTTATTATTTTTATAAACTGTTATTACCTTTAATACAATATGTACTGTGCATGTCATCAAACTATGCCTTAATTTACCATCTTATTGTAAAGTTCTTCTTAACCTTGATACTTTTATTTCATGCTTAATGCTGCTACTAGTTTTATATTTTTTTACTTTCAGATCTGTTTTATTTTAGTAAATATGTTTTATGCCTTTGTTATTGTCGGTAAATAGCTTATTAGCTAATGTTTCTTGTAATATGTAAACCGACTTAAAATAAACTTTCTTGTATCTTGTAAGTTAAACAAAGACACATTTTGCAATCTATTTCTGCAAAAGCTAAACCCCTTCTTTGTTTGACTTGTCTGCAAAGTATACCAACCTTTTTTTTAAAATAAGAAATACAGTATTTCAATATTTTTGGCTGCTGTTGTGAATTTTACTTATTTGAAAATGGAGATTAAAAGAGGGCAGCTATTTTGAAATAAGAGTGAGGCCTTATTTCAGCAGCTAGTGATAGGGTGAAAATGCCCTGTAAATATAATAATAATCAGTTAAGGAAACTAACACAGCTTTTTACAATTGACAATAAGCACCTGAATGTCACAGATAGCATGAAACTGTTTCAAGAGACATTATCAAATTTTTCAGAGGTGAGCAATGCAAGAACACGGTTAGATGCCACCTTACAATTACTGGTGGACAAAAAAGATGAAAGTGCTGAAAGGTATGCCAAGTTGCCAACATTTTTTTTTACCCAGTTTGTGCCGGATGCCTAAGGCATGTAAAATCATTTTCAGGCCTGCAAAAATCCAAAGATTGGTTTGCCAAGACATTTATATAAAAGAACTCAACTGAGGTCCACTCCACTGATAAACAAAAGCCTAAAATATTAAATTTGAATTTTTTTCACTTATCAGCTGGAGCACTTAAAACAGAATGGTATGCAAAAGATAATGTAGAAATATACTTCGACTTTATTTGGAAATCATGATTTTGTATTTCTCTTAGACCGATTCTGCAACACTTTTCACTTTTGGGTAATTTTTCACTATCAAAATAATGGAAAAAAGATGTGACCTCAAGAGCTGAAATTGTAATAACACTAGTTATTGGTCTAGACCTACATTGATTCAAAAGTTTAATCTTGAAAAATTATTTTCAAGTCATGCCAAAATTAAGCTCAGTAAAAACCCTTTAGGATTATTTTTATGTATATACACATTAGATAGTGATTGTATTTTGCTCGACCATTTTAGCACTGCAGAGAGTGATGATGAGCCAGATATTCAGTTACCAATTAATGTACCAGTTGTTAGAAGTAGTGGATCCCCGGCAGCGTCGCCAGTGAAGCGCCTCATCCCCAGTAGCTCACAGAGATCAAAGAAAAGAAAACGTAAACATGATAGCATGGATGCCACTGACGCAGGGTCAAAATATCATCGTAAGTAGAGAACTGTATATAGAGGATATTGAATATGTGTAAGTTTAATACTGAATTATTGAACACGTTGAATAGATTTATATTATCCGAACCTCTAGCAAGCATGATATTATTTTATTGAACAAGTTCAATAAATTCAGTATTAAACTTATACAAATTTAATATTCTATTTATCAAATTATAAATACCAAAAATATAGACCATTTGAAGTGAAAAGAACCATTTTTCATTGACAGGCATATAGTATAACGCTTACTTAGGGCATCTTGAAGCCATGTTTATATAAAGAAAATGATGTCACGTCAAAATATATGCACAGCCGTGCAAAGCCATTTCTAAGGAGTTGTAAAACCGGTACTGTTGTGTGATAAGTGTTATTATTATATTCACTGCACAGCAAAGGTACATGTGTTAGTGGGTTCATTGGTTGTGACGTGTCTAGTGGCATACAATGTAAGTTCATGTGTGCTTTTGGAAGTAAAACATAAACCTTTGTGGCATTTAAAATGATTACATTTTCGGAGTAGCATAATGAGTTTAAGGAAGCCTTTCCTATTCTGGTTCATGAAATTGTGAATAAAGCTCAATAAGCATTAAGGTCTTTTCCCATAAAAATAGCTTAAAAGATACCATATAGCCTTGACATTGATGGTGTTACTGTAAAACCCTAACACCAAGAATAAGAATTTTACAGTTAAACTATTATCTGTCACTGTTTTCTGTATCTTTTCAAGTTTTAGCTTGGTTAAGAACTGTCATTTAATTTGGCATTTTACACATGTTGCAAGGTATAATGCACAACAGATGCTATTTTAATATTTTGATAGTCATAATAATTTTTCTGATAGGAAACCAAAGCAACATAGGTATTAAATAATAAAAAAAGTCATCAATAGAAAATGCCTTAATAGCAATACAAATCCATGTAATTTATAGGAATTCCACCAATAAAACACCAGAAATCAGGAAATCCTCAATTGGACAGACAACCGGATTTCTGAATCTGAAATCTAGGATTTCAATGGCAGCCTTATTGAAATCACATATAAAATCTGCATACAAAAATTGTTAATACATAGACACATGTAGTAAATTTCTTCTCAAAGCAAAAATTCTTAAGGTATATATTCCCATTTGTATAATTTTATTTAATGAGGTAAACTTTCTGTTATAGATACAACTTATATCATGAAGTTATTTGACCGAAGCGTTGATCTAGCACAGTTTAATGAAAACACACCATTATATCCCATTGCACGAGCATGGATGAAGGACAATTCTGCCACCGACGAGGCAGAGTCTTCACAAGGAGAAAGTAGTGCCGATGAAAAGGTTTGAAGCAGACTATTTCCAATTAGCTTAATAGTTTTTCACTTAATACAGGCTATGTATGATAGCAAATTAATTTATTTATGCATGTTATTAAGAGTTTTAACTTGTATCCAAAATGAAAAACTTTTGAACTTTCTGTAAGGATAAAAAAATCATATTTATTAACATTAATAAAAGTGATTGTAAGATATCATGAAAAAAATATTATATTATCAGCTGATTCTATCCTAGTGGTACTGCAGAACAAGTTCAAGCACATCTATGCTGTCTGATCATGGTCTGCACTGTTTGCTGTTCAGTCTGTACATATTTTAAAATTTTCCCTAAAAATCACTGAATGCTTCAGTCCAGATTTAAGAATTGACAAGTCTATTTAAGATATTTCGTGTAGTAAGGGCTAAGCAAACTGCTAAGTGTTATCTAAACTTATACAATTCAGGATGACCCAACTAATGTGTTCAAGATGCCCACACCAATCAAGCTGAAGTTTGAACGAGGAGTTGGTTACCAAGACACGAGAATACCACCACCTATTCTGTCCAATGATGCACCTTTAGATATTCACAAGGTATAGTTTAGTGCTTGGTTTCTAGATGAATTATTCCTAATGCTGCAGGACAACTGTAAAAAGATGTCCCATACTTCACTTCAGTGCCTATATACATGTATTTTCTGGTCCTTCAGAATCATTTAATATCACATACCCTTGCCGGTTTTGTGACTCCAAAAAAAATGGTATTGCACTGCCATGCATACATTCTGACATGAATGTCATTTGCGCTATACAAACATAGTGTTACACTATAACCTCGTCAATTGAAAATGATTCTTTTTCACTTTAAATACATGTAGTCTATATTTTGGGTATATGATAAATAGAATATGATAATCAAGTTCATTACTGAATTTATTGGACGTGTTGAAGAAAATATTATTATGATTGCATAATATTATTCTATTCAACAAGTTCAGAATCATTTAATATCACATACCAATGCTACTTTTGCAACTCCAAAAAAATGGTATTGCATGACAGTGCATATATTTTGATGTGGATGTCATTTGCATTATACAAACATAGTGTAAAGACACGCTAATTGTTAGTGTTATACTTCAAGCGCGTCAATGAGAAAGGATTCTTTAAATAGTCTTTTATTTTGGGTATGTGAAAAATAGAATATTATAATCATGTAAGTTCATTACTGAATTTATTGAACTTGTTGAATAGAATAATATGCTTGCCAGAGGTTTGCATAATATTATTTTATTCAACTTATTCAATCAATTCAGTAATGGACTTAAACTCATGCAGCAACCTCTATTTACGGTCCTTTATTGTGTTTAGGATTATTGAATTTTTCTGAATCCGGTGCTAGGTGGGCATGATATAAGTTGCATTTTCCATTGTCTGCCATGACCAGACTTTAACGGGTCTGCAATTTTCACTTTTAAATCTTGTTTAATATGTTTCCTTACTCTCAGTGGATCTTCTTTAATTAGATATTTATTACAAATTAAAGATCCTGTAACACATTTTTTTCATGGTTTTGTTTAATAAATATGATGCTCAAATTAAGATTTGTCAATATTGTAAGTTCCAATAAGCATTATTTATAAAGATATTACCGAATTTAACATTTCATGTAAATAAAGGGAGGTAATTAGAAATTTATTTTCTATAAATTTTAAGTCAAATTTTCCAATAAGAAATAAATGCGTATAATTTAATGATTAAATATAATGTGCATAAATATTTGCAGTACCCAATTTACATATTCCTTGATGTTTGAAAATTATTTAATTTGCATAATCATATAAATATATTATTTTTTGCAAGTGTGGTATACACTCAGTAACAATATCAATCACAAAACATACAGGATCTTTAGTTATCTTTCATGAAAGAAAATATCAGTGCTTGGAGATAATTGGTGTGAAATTTCCTATTTGCAGGATCCTGACCTAGGCCCAGCACCGGAGGAGCTTTTATTACGTCACATGGCACGATGGAAGAATATCCGACAGTCGTGGATTAACGCAGCACGAATAAATGAACTCAAATATAACAATAGTATAGTGATACTGAAAGACATGTTTGAGAGGAACTTGCAGTCACAAGAATCGTCCCAGGAATGATCAGTATATTGTGTAGTGACGTACAAACATGTATGAAAGTTATAGAAAAAAAATAAGGCATGTTTATTTCAGTAAGCATTCATTTCTTAACTCCTTACAAACTTCAGTACAGGATTAGCATCTTAGCTATTGCAAATAAGCATGTTTTATTACATAAACATTGTGAATGGTACACGTAGCCATTTTGAATGTTATTACACAATCTATATGTTCTCTTACATGAAAGAAATGGTAGCGCTTTTAGCAACTGCTCTTAGCCATGTGTTCATATGGTCTAAAAGTTAAAATGGTTAAACAGTGCAATATGAATTAAAATCATTACATATTTTGACATGTCTTATAAAATCACTATTTTAAGACAGTTTCAAGATAAATCATGTAATGTAAGGAATATCAAGAAGCCTGATAATGTTTTACATTATCATCTTATCATTATATTAGTTTAAACATATTTTATGTTTATGTTATCATTATATTGATGTTCCATCAACTTTATGGTTTATGGATTTTGTACATGGATGTTTTTTCTGAGCCACAATGAAATTTATGGTTTAAGTTAATAAGTTTATATTGTTTGTTAACAATTTTTGTCAGTGAGCTTTGTTTGTAATCAATTTTGATCATTTTACTTAATTTCTGAAATACATAACAATATAACAATGTATTAAAGATATTTGTACATTTGTATATACATGTATTTAAATAAAGCAATGAATGAAAACCAGTTTTTGAATCACACTTGAAAGAAAGAGTTTTGAGCATATAAAATTTATGTATGACAAGTTCAGTACCATTTATCTATTAAATTCATAGGATAGATTGTGCATGACAATGGATATTTAGGGCTTGTACACCACTTGCCTGAGATATTTAATTATAAAAATTGTCATACACTTGTTGATCTCATAAGAATGAATTTGTTTAATTCTAAGTTTGCTGACATCAAATTCATGTTGACTGGTTGCCCAACAAATTGTGTGTCAGAGATTTTTATTATCTATACAATAGTCGCCCTTCATAAAGACCGACATCTGGGTAATATCAGATGTAAAATCGGTCGGTCTTGCAGTCGAAATATTGAGACTAGTTGACAGGTAAACAAATTGTATGTGTTTTGAAATGATCAAATAAAGCTGTTTTAAAATGAGGACAGATTTTATGAAACACCCTGTATAACATGTTTATTAAAGTTCAGCACATGTCTCTGAGGCCATAGTTGAAGGTCACTTTCCAGACCCATGCTAAAGTAACTTTTTCCTGGATGATGACTAAAGAGTATTCTTTTTGAGGGCATTCTGGTTAAAGTTTTGCATTATAACCACTTCAGGTATCATGTTAATTACGTCTTTGAGGTCACACGTGCAGGACCCATACTTCTAACATGAATTTTGATATTTTTGTAATAACTATATTTTAGTGAAAAGTCTAGTTTTCTAATCCAAGTTCTATATAACTTAACAGTTTATAGGTGTAGGTCACTGTCCGAGGCCAATATCATGACTTTGTGTATATGAAATACTCTCCTTTTTCATGTGACACAGATAAAGATATGGAAAGTTGTCATGAAATTTTTAATTAATTTTGTAATTTAAGTGTAAAGGTCACTGGGACCTTTATACAATGCAACTTTATAACATTACCTGGCAGAAATAAGTTGGTCAGTAACGTTTTGAAGACGAAGGCCTGATATCTAAGATTTATTAAAAGCCCTTAAATATTCTATTTAAAGCATAACGGAAGTGTCTTATCTATGTACTGTATCATATTGTACCAATGCGTCAGTGTTATACAACATTAAAAGATAAAGATGTTACCGAAATAATGGTTTCAAAATAAGAATGAGTTCATTATAATCACGGTCACCTATGTATTACCACATTATTGTATCATAGTTTGGGGACCTTTCTGTTGAAAATGTGTCAGAGTTAAATCGTATAATATACATGCACAGTGCGGTAACTGGAGTGCAGGTATTAGTTACCCGCACTCCAGAGCATGGTCATTGATTGGTTCATTTTTGCTGGGGTTTACTTATTTTTAAGGCAGAGAAAGGGAAAGCAACAGAAATATCATATTCCGATGCTCGTTCATTGGTTTCTTTTTATCAAGGGTTTCATATTGTGACAACAGGGAACGTGTTTTTATGTTTGACAATGATACAAAAGAGAAAGAACATTTTTTCTAGAATTACTGGTACTTTTTTATACTATTCCAACACTATATATCATATATACAGTATATTTTTTTTAGAATTACCTTTTTACACTATCCCAACACTATGCTGGGTCCCTGTGAATTTTTCCCGGGGTTTCAAATTGTGACAACAGGGAACGTGTTTTTATGTTTGACTATGATACAAAAGAGAAAGAACATTTTTTCTAGAATTACCGGTACCTTTTTATACTATTCCAACACTATATATTATATATACAGTATATACAGTATATTTTTTTCTAGAATTACCTTTTTACATTATCCTAACACTGCTGGGTCCCTGTGACTTTTTCCCGGGGTTTCAAATTGTGACAACAGGGAACGTGTTTTTATGTTTGACTATGATACAAAGAGAAAGAACATCAAAACACTCGGCAATCTGATTAATACTCGGGGGGGGGGGATCGTACAAATCAGATATCCTCGTGTTTCGATGCTCTTTCTATTACTAAAATCATAGTTTGACGTTCTTTAGTTAGACATATGAATTAATCATTATACACGTGACGTAACCACTAAAATTTGACGCGCTGAAAATAAGTACGGAAACAAATCCGGCGCAATTTAGGTTTATATCAGGTGCCGCAGCATATATTTGTTGATGCCGTGTTAGAATCGAAATAATATATCCAAATTGGTGATTTTATCGCGTGATAAAATCACTGTTTGTCGTTCGGATGTTCATCATTATATCGCTCCGGCTATACACCTTCGTCATTCGAACTCCATACAGTGATGTTAATGAGCGATAAAATCACTGTTTGGGATATATTATTTCTTAATTAAGTGATTTTTCACCTTATATAACAGGGACCTATAAAAGACCTCACCCCAACGGTAATTTTCTTTAAAATCATGCAGTTTTCCCAAAAAGCTGATTTTACTTCCCAGCTTTTAACGTCCCAAGTTAGCAAATTTAGCGATAACCCTTCGTTAAAGAGATACACACACAAAATTTTCATTTCTTCGTTTTGAATTTTTCGTTCATTTATCTGTAAATTGGCCTCAAAATGAACTACATTCTACAAAATTTCCATCAACACATTTTATTACATGATAATGTTACATCAAATTTTATTCCAGCACCAGAATTGTTTAGTGCCTTTTAAGATGACAGTCTACGATCATGATATTTCTATGTGTACACATGGCTTTCTCGTATTCACACCTGAAATAAAACATTAAAGTTGTGAAGCTGGTCGACATGTTTTCATAGGTAAAGATAGTGTATCACTCGGTTTTTACGAAAGACCAGTGGGGACATTTCAACTTCATAAATTCCCAATTTCATCTTCATATGTTCACAATTTCAACTTTACGAATTCACGATTTCAACTTCATCATGAATTCGTGAAGTTGAAATAGTGAATTCATGAACTTGAAATCGTGAATTTGTGAAGATGAAATCGTGAATTCATGGACTTGAAATCGTGACTTCATGAATTTAAAATCGCGAATTCCCGATGTTGAAATCGTGAATTCACGAAGTTGAATTCCTGAAGTTGAAATCGTTAAATCAAGAAGTTGAAATCTTGAATTCGTGAAATTGACATCGTGAATTTGAGAACTTGAAATCGTGAATTCGTGAACTTAAATTCGTGAACTCGTTAATTACGTCAATTCACGAAATTAAAATTATGTATTTACGAAGATGAAATCGGGAATTCATGAAGTTGAAATGTCCCCACCGGTATTTCGTAGTTTTGGACGATAGGGTGCTTCCATTCCCTTTTATATCTTCCCATATGACATTATACATTTAAAAATGATAGAAGTCTACTTTTCGTCTTACTTTAAATTAGGTCTATATCCCGTACGTTTCTATCATGGAATATTTTGATACCACGTGACTTAAAGCTGGAGACAGGATATATTATATACTGTTCTGTAAGATTTTAAGTCATTTCGACTCTGAAATTAAGGGTCAAACGGCGACTTTACTGGTGGAGGAAGATCTCAGATGCCTTTTCGTACAATGTTTCAGGCACGAGGGGGCATCTGAGTAGAACCACCGACCTTCCGTAAGCTAGCTTCTTCTGATGTAAGAATTCAAAATCCCTACCGGGATTCGAACCTACAGTGATGAAGGGTACAGGAGAAACAATGTAAAAGCCGCCTATCAAGAGAGAGGATATTGACTGTGGCTTCCAAAGGTGTGAGTAACAGGGGGGGGGGGGGGCAAATCTAACTAACTTCAATTGGCCACAGTCCAAGGAAACTAAAATTCAAATGTCACGATTAAAAATCAATAAACATCTACAATGGACACAAATTGCCTTCATATGATATTCGGCTTGATAATCTTCGAGTAAAAATATGCAGTTTTTGGACCACCCCAACCCCATCCCATCCTTAAATGATCACCCCATCCCTAAATGACCATCCCATCCCTAAATGATCATCCCATTCCTAAATGGACATGATTAAAATACCGCGTGCAGCACTATAGTATTTTGTCAATATCTGATCAACAAATGTAGAGCTTTAAAATTGTAAATTTAAACTAATTTTGCACGACATATTTGCAAATTAAATTGGCCATTTAGTTAGTTCGCCTATTAGCCATCGAAATATTTTTTTACGGAGACCAAATAAAAAACACTATAAAAATAATACGATTGGAAATGATAGACGTAAAATCACAAGGTGTATGTGCTCTAAATATACAGAAAAAAATAATATCTTACGCGTTGTCATAGATTCGCCCGTCCGAAGCACAGATTTTAGTCCCTCCGACCGGACAGTTAGTGTGACTTAGATGTGTACAAAAGAAGTCGAGAACGTGGTCAGACCCTGCTCCATTTATGGGTGCAGGTGTTGTGCCATCAGCACTTGTGCAATTTCCGTAGTGCTTTATATCAATTGTGCTGTCACGACAATGGGCTTTACTGAATTCGCATCTACAAAAGAAGAAGTTTCAAGTTTCAAGAAAAAAATCACTTTTAATTAATTGTATAAAAGATCTTGCACAACGTATGTTAGAGATGTAAAGTATTAGTTGTACATTAGAATCCAGACATCTGAACCTATATCCCGTTGAAATGATCTATTACTAGTCACCAAACTTTCTAGGTACGAAGTGTTGTCCCTATTAATTTATTTGAATGGTATGATAATGAGAACCAGACAACAATTATCATACGGGAAACCTTTTTTTAAACGACCAACTCATGTAATTTATTTCTGTACCGGAAGTTGCTATAGATATCCGGAAGTAACGCCATTTCCTAAATTTAAAATCGCTTGAATCAACGAATAAAATAATAAAATCAAAATTAATAGTACAGGACGTAAATTACTTGTTTTTGTATGTGACAAGGTTGGTTGCACAGGTTAAATCATCAGAAAATCGACTACAGTCCACACTGGGAGTGTTGATGTAGGAACATGAGTAGTAAATGTCGCCGTTCACAACTCCTTCAATAAAAAGATAAATCATAATACTGTGTACCCGTTGACCGGTCACTACCACAACCACCCCCTACAACCCTTATACTTTGTTCTCACCGCCGATCAGATCAACTCTATCGTCCCGATCACATTAATTCCCCGATGAAGTCCGACCAAGCTAGATTAAATGCACATTCACGAGTCCTACACGACCTCAAGTCGACCCTACACGATGTAATACGACTTCATCTCGACGACAACCCGACCAACACCCCGACTTCTTCTCGATCACCCAGACCTATACGCGAGTCATACACGATCTCAACTAGACTAACTTGACCTCTGCTCGATCGTTGCCAGATTCCCATCCGACCAGATCGTAATTATCGTAATTGCGTCGTGAATAGTCGTGTATCGAATTGTTTAGAATACAATCTAAGTTCACATTAGTTCATGGCGGAGATTGAGCAGTTGCAGTTGCGGTCCAGATGGTCCTACTACTCGTACTGCATGTTGCCTTTTTGCCCTTTCTGGACATTTTTGTTGTCAGAATTTGGAAGTTGCTCTATCTTCAAATTTGTAACAGCTAATAAGATACCAACAATAAGTTTACATCTATATATTGTTAAGGTCACGTAAACTCGTGTATGGTCGAATAACTATCGGGAAGCGATCGTGTGTGGTCGTGTAGCAGTCGGATAGTAGTCTAGTTATTCTGGACAATAGATCGAACAGAGGTAGAGTTGATTGGGTTGCGATCGGATAATGCTCGAGTAGAAGTCGAGATGATCGTGTACAGATCGGGTAATATCATGTATACCCGATCAAACTAGATCATTACACGATTTATTCTCGATCAACTAGATCTTCTACTCGATCACTATACGATCGCTTCTGGACCGCTTATCTACTCGATCGCTACTCGAGTTTTTTTGACATGTCAAAAAAAATCTGGTAGGAAGCCCGAGCCATGCCGACCAAGGTAGACCGCTCCGACCACCCCTGACCACGCATGCAGACCGAGCTAGACCGGTACCCGATCACTTGATCGAGTTGATCTGATCGGCGGTGAGAACACAGCATTACATATCGGTGCTACCGAGTGGTAAACGCGTCAAATTAGTAATCTAAGAATTGCTCAAACCCTGTCCGTGAAAAATACACTTTACACCCATTGCTAAGTACTAGTGGGTTTGAGAGTGTTTCAATAAGCTTATAGCTTCCAACACAATCGAACTAAAATAAATAAGTATAAACTAAGTCCTATCTTTCCTAAGAAGTTAAATATGCAGTTTTTTTTATGCAAAATTTGATATATGATAATTAATGGTAGGGGTGTTGAAGAAAATTGAATGAGTTGTCCTAAATAAAAGAAAATTTATAATTATTTAAAAAAAAAGAAATCGGGAAATGAAATATCATATACCAAATATTTAAACGCATTTTGCATGTTGTGGTGTTGGCATTTTTCACTATGGATCACGGTAGTAAGCCGCATTGAATTTACCAGAGTGCAGTTCAACCACCGTTTTTTACATGAAAAACATTTCAGTTTATATGCTATGGGAAAGGAGCGGGGGTTGGGACCAACTTGTGGGTAATGACCAATCAACGGTATAGAACAGTTCACTTATTAAGGAAGCGGCCAAATAGCCCAGTTGTTAGCGCTCCGGAACGGTTTACCGATAGTCTCGGATTCGAGTCCCTGTCTCTTACTATGTGACACTTTATCTTGTTGAATATAGATATAAAAACGCTTTCATATTTACCGTTAAAACAACACAAAATCGCAGCTAGTAAAACAAACATCGTCCTCTTTCCGTACTTCATTTAATTTGTTGAACTGTTGTTCAAATGTGTTGAACTCGTTATCTTTATAGAGATCTCATCCCATAAGTCTTAAAGATAAGGGTTTTTAAATCCATATTTAGTCACAATTCTTTAACCTATTGAACCTTTTATTAAAAAAAAAATTCTTATACTTGATAACATTTGTTTATTTTAAAAAGCTCCAATTTTGAAATGTACACTTTATATTTGAATGTTAAAACAGCAGCCATTTTGTTCCTGGACGGTTTTTATCAAAATAAGGTTGGCGACCACTAATATGCTGGCGATTATCTGTCTTGAAAATGATTAAGCTGTAAAAGATTTATTTAACAGTTATCGTCTGATGATGAAACGTTCAAAAAGAAGTAATTAAAAGAGCGATAATAAAGTAAATATCACATGCAAGTGTAATGGCAGACATAAACTTATAAGACTTCATATCCCGGACAGTTTGGAATTTCTTTAGATGTTTATTTTTTTAAACTGTCTTACATAGGTCAGACATGTATTTTTCCTGACAATGTGAAGCATAAGGGATATAGAAATACATGTTATTGATTATGATATTTACAAACGAATGCTATATTAATTTTTATTGTCAAAGGGAAATAACTGCATTTTCATTTACAAACGTAGCGGTTTTGAGTTATGAATCTTAGCTGTGAGACCAAGTTTCTTTAACGAGTTTTACGTCACACCAACAAAGAATATTGTCATATGGTGACGGACACCTGATAAGAACCACTGACGATCCGTAAGCTAGCTGGATAGCTTCCTCACATGAAAGAATCCACATTCCTGTCGGGATTCGAATCAACAGCGGTGAGAGACGAGTGGTTTGATGTCAACAACCATAACCACCCGGTCTATTGGTTAACCTTTGTTGACCATGCATTTGTATTATCAAAAAATCGCTGTATAGCTACAAAAACAATTAATCTTAAAATGCCTTTTTAAAAGGTACTTTTCCATAAATCATTTATCTGCAAAGCAATTTTAATCACATCTACATTTTTGTATATGTCTATGTTCCCGCTCAAATATTCTTTTTTTTTTAAGAAGAAGAAGGATAGAAAATTTTAAGTCCTGTAAATGACAGGATTCTATGGCTGCTCAAAAAACGAAAAATAATAATAAATAAAATAGTGAAAACGCCTGACACAGATTCAACGGAAATACATGTATGTATAGAATGCACTATTCCTATGACTTTTACTTATTTGCTCATAATGCACGAGGTAATGCATCTTTATTATTATAAAATTGGTATTTTATGTAGCGAGCATAAGTTCTCATATAGTCCAACTTTCTTTCCTTATCAATAGTTTGTGACATAAAGTGGTCCTCGCAAAGTAAGGTCAAGTCAAGAAAGGTTTTAAAAAGAACACACCTACTTTTCTTTCTACTGGTTGCTATTTGCTTCTTTCTGTTTTTCAATCTAATTATCAAAGTAGGAGTATTGGTGTGTACATATATTAAAATATATACGACAAAAGCCGGTGATAGAAAGGCATGGGGATGATGCGCTTTTTCACTATCCCTATGTACATACTCAATCAAACCGACTCTGCAAATTTCATGTAATTTTAATGTGATTAATGCTTCGACGGAATTACCCTTTTCCTGGGTTTTTAATAACAAAGCAGTTAATAGAACTTCTTTGTAAAGTACAATGTATGATCTTTACAACCTTATAGTGACGTTACTTTTTTCTAGTCTTTCAGGATCATTTATTCCACACGTGGCTGTTGAAGATTTCCAGACCGCTTAAGCCGGTGCTTGATGGCGTACAAATGATAAGGTATTGCGCTTTGACATTATTTCACATGAACAGACTCATTCCATACACTATTGTTGTTTTTATTTCTTCCGATGGATCACATTTTTTCTTACCACCTCCTAGGATTTATATCGGTAAAGGATATTTTCAAATACACACAAATATAATCCGAGGATTTATTTCGGACTACTTTTTGCATGAAGGATATTTTCAAATACACACAAATTTAACTGAGGAATTATTTCGAACTACTTTCTGCGTAAAAGGATATTTTCAAATATACACAAATTTAACCGAGGCTTTATTTCGGACTACTTTCTCCGTAAAATGACATTTTTATAAACACACAAATCAAACAATGCGTTAAATTATTTAGTATAGCAAATTAACAATTGTTTACATATTTATTCTATTAGATACATCGATTACATGACAAGTGACTTTGTTCCGGTGCCACGTGATAATTACTAGGGCGTGGCTCCTGCCACTGGACAGTCTAAAACTTGCAACCTACGATGTGTGCATTTTTGTTTCTCATACTCACAACTGAAAGAAACATACAATTATTTCAGAATTTATGAAATATTGGCAATAGCACGTGCATTTTTATCGTCTGCCTTGTATGAACAATGAACAGTTCCGATTCAAAGTGGGACAGATCAAGTAAACAATTTCAGCAAGACAATAGTCCAGAAACGATATACTAGTACTTTTCAAATAAAATTTAATTAACAAAAGACATTCTAAGTAACTGTGTTACTTCATTATCGTTTCATATCGTTTTGTGTCGCCATTTGACCAATCGGAACATCTCGGCTATTATTCTTAATGATAACTTCTTATCAAAGGGCCGAGATGATGCGATTGTCGACTTGACATGAGCAGCTCCGAATCAGGAACATCCAATCTCAATATAAGTCAAAATACGGTTTACTTGTATGCACACATTAAGCATTGGGTAAAATGTCATCAAATATCTAAATAACAATAGAACCACTCATGTTTTGTAAGATTTATACGTTATACATGTACTTACTAATTGGCGTAAGTATATCCATCATCAGCACACACTTTTTCACCACCAACAGGACAGTTCATGTGGCTCAAATTTGTGCAAAAGAAGTCAAACACGACGTCAACGCCATCAACGTTTATTGGCGTCGGTGTTGTACCGTCAGCAGGAGTACAGTCCCCATAATGTTTCACAGATATCTTCGGATCTGCGCAGTGAGCCTTACTATACGTGCACCTTTAATAATTAATTATCTATTTTTAGAAGATACATTTATTTTTAGAACATCATGCGGCACAGAGGAGCAACGCAGTACGTACTCGGCGCATCTCTCGTTTCAGTGACTACTTCCTCTAAAAAAAGAGCTTCATCATTCTACTGAGATCGATTGCGAAATCCTCATTGCTCATTTCTTTGCAAAGCGCTAGGTTCAGCAAGAGTGAAAAACTGCCGTGTCAGAAATTCATCAAAATCTTAGTAAAAGTTCATATTTTTGTGCTTTATCAGAAACAAGAACACACTTGGCGATTATTTTATTTATTTGGTTACCATAACAACCAAGCTTAATTCAGCATTTTTCAATTCAACATGTTTTTCAATTCAACATGTTTCGGTCTCATAATATTGTTTTTTTATCCTCAAATACGCCAACTTATTTTCCTTCCAGAGTTTGTAAGGTTGGTGTTGATATTTAAACACAAAATGAATTCATAAACGAAAAATTCCATGGTAATTTAAAAAATTTCATATCTTTTGACACTGCAAAAAACAGCGAGATTTGCCGAATTGCTTACATTATTGCAATGTGCACTATTGTTAACTTTATCAAATAAATAAACTGTAAGCTCTTAGTACAATGGTAGATTTTACATATTTTTTTTTGCACAATATGGAATGTGAATGTTTCGATGGTCACAATGTTGCTATGGAAACATGAACTAGATTTATAAGTATGACATATTTTCGAAATAAAAATAGAGGAATTATTACAGTCATGGCGGCGTTTAACCTTGATCATAACTTGATCATAACTTTTAAAAATTTTAGTTTCTTGTCTAGTAATGTCTACATACTTGGCGACAACAATCTTTTGGACAATATCTTTAAGTAGACTAGACTAAGTTTGACCTTCATTTATAAATGACCTTGACCTTCAAGGTCAAATGTCTAAATTTTGCTGATTTTTGCTTTTTGTGGCTATTCCTTTGTTAATTTTAAATGAATTGAACAAAACAATCTTTTAGGATAGAATTATGAGCTAACTAGACAAGACCTTGACCTTCAAGAAAAAGAAACATAATCTTGAAGTCAGACAAAACGAACATACTCGATTTCTGTGATCACATGCTGCATTAACCCTAGAACGAACACGGAATTCGGGCTATACAACTGCACATGACTTACTTACCTATTTTTGTAAGTTACAAGATTGGAACCGCATGTGGGCTCAGGTGCAAAATTGTCACAGTCTACGGTTGGTTGAATAATCCAGTAGCAAGAGTAAGAGTCCTGACCGGAAGTGACTGAAAACGTAATAAGATAATCATGCAAACAATTTTTTTTTTCAAGATTGTATTCATTCATCAGGCATAAACTATTCACAGTCTTAGTGGTGCGACATTATTAGTACGAAATACATTAATAAGCTACTACCCCACAATTTGTTCTTCGGGCGTTTTTGAAATAAAATGTAATCAAAAGATAAAATTTCACCTGCAAACTCGCACATTAATATGGAACTAGAGGATTAATACATGTCTTGTCCGACAAAAAAAACTTAAAGTATTTGCAATGTTTATACTGCTGTAATTTTAAACCGTTGCAACGTTTTATTTTGTAAATATTTACTTAAAACACACCCGTTAACTGGTTACATTAAGATCAGTTGTTTACGGGTAGAACAATTGTGCGCTGTGTAAGATTTGTATTCTGCAATCGACTGCTGCCGATACATCATAGAAAAGTATGTCTATAAAAGGAGACAACAAAAAGATTATATTTTGGTAATCAGGTTAAGAACTAAGATTTATATGGTAATTTCTACCTGCATCAAGCTGCCCTGCTCGCAACATGTTAACGGGCGTGATAATAATGGTGTTTATACAGAGATGTAGATAACTTAGATAGTTATCTATGTCTCTGGTTTATATCTGTGTCAAGTGAAACAGTACAACTGTTGATATGTTGATGCATTGAAGAACCTTTTTGCATCCCGAAAGAATACAATTAATTAACGTAAAACCACATCTGCAATTAATTTTTTATTAAAGTTAAGTTTCTAGTTATCTGAATATTAAGTCCCGTTTAGTCTTAAATTGTATATTCTGTTGAGTCCGTTCTTATTGGTCATTTCAAGATATACTAGGCTCAAATTTGGTATTGAAAGATATTGACAAAGTGTTACACTGTCTCTTTGTAAGTATAAAATTAATATGTTCTGACCTCACACAAAGAAGATTTGTTATGAAACTAGCATTTTTTCAAAGAAAAGACCATCTTTAACTTGGCTTGTAACAGGGAACATAGTTTATTCATTATTTTTATTCAAACATATTCAGTAGCATAGTATATATATCTTTAAGTTTTTATTTGTATGTGTCTTTGTTCCGTTTAATGTTTCCTATTTTCTGTTCGGTCGTGAGGGATTCTATTATTCTATTATCTTTTATTTTATGTCAAGACATGTATTAATCATCTATAGTTATATTAGTTTCGTTTTAATGTTTTAGTTGCGTATTCGGTGACTCGTTTTCTCTTCTATTATTCTGTTTATATGCCGTCCACCGTGTCTTTTGTCTGGTCTGTGCAATTAATGTAGCCTCGTTAAGTAATTGTTACCCATTTTTTGTTATTATTCTTGCTATATGTTCCGTGACAATACTTTTATCCGTCTTAGACGTCGTAGTCATTCTTATGACCACTTTATTATATGTATCTTTCCCGTCTATATTGTTCTGTTAGTTGTTGGATATTACGTTTTGTTTCCTGTTTTAGTTTTTTCTTGTCTGTTCTGTCAAGTGCCTTGTCATGTGTACTGTATTGAGTTTTCCGTTCTGTTTTCAGTTTCTTGTAGACTACTCCGTAGTGGACTGTTGTATGGTATGTCTGTGGCTCTTTGTTGGTTGTATGTTACATTAGGTGTTCCGTTAGTCCTTCTGTTATCGGTCCTCCTTTCCTGCTCTTTGCTGAATCGTTGATGCCATTGTGTCCTGTCTGTTCTGTTTCGTGTCTTGTCGTCTGTTCATTTCTGTGGCTTGTAGAATGCTCCGTTAAGTATTTGTTGTTATCTGCCGGTTGACGACCTTATGTCTTTTGCTGTCTGTTCCGTGTTTGTCTCTTTTCCTCTTTTCCGTTAGGTCTTTTGCTTAGTCTCTGTTTGTATGTACTTCTCGTTTAGTCTCTAGAGTTCTATGTTTTGGTTTAGCCAGTCTCGTAGTTATTTCATTATATTAGTGGAGTAGCGGGGGGTCGAACTCACGATCCCTAGATTGGTAGGCAATCAATGTTACCACTGCACCATAGCGCCCGCTCTGAATAAAAACTGTTTTTGAAAGTCCTATATACATACTGACTTTCATGGCTAACAAATAATGTATTGCAATTATATTTTAACACCTCTGCTTAGGAAGTCGACCCACGTGATTTTTATTTGTTTGGGTCGTCAGACCAAACAAATAATGGTAGCGAAATTTCAGAGTCTAATGTTGTTAATTGCAAATGCCGAAAGTAGTCCACTTTTTTGAAGCGGTTACTTCCCTTATGTATGTACACTAAAGCCGAAAAATTCAGGGGAGATCACTGCGTAAAGATGGTCAAAGACAGGCGCATCAATTCAAGCAAAGTAATTCCCGAATGGTCAAAGATTTCTAATATTGTTTTATTGTATTTTCTGATCGAAAATAACTATATACAAAGCGGACATTCAATCTCTGACGCAGAAGTTTGCTACAAACCTAACAACAAGTAGTTCTCAAAACAGCTAAAAACTAGCGATTTAAAAGAAAGAAATATTTTATTTTGTTACAAGTATCCAACAAATTACAACGCATTTAAAGTTAAACAATAGCGTTGGCTTATAGAATTGTCAATAAATGCACAATCACAAATTACGCGGATGAATATGATTTTATCAATGAAAATATTATTTTTAGCCATGTTGATTACCGAATACTACACAAACCGAGTAGTGGAATATATAGATTCTACATGCCGGACCGTTTGGGCGAGAGGATTTTTGCTAAAATATTTACTTCAATTACAAACAACAGGTTTACCCTGAAAAAATACCACGAAATTAATAAGGATTACAAACCCGAACTGCAACGGAAGTTCTAAATTTAGAATGACTTGATATTATTCAGACACACTGTGTATAACTTCTCCGTGGTACAGTGGTAACGCGCTCGCCTCGTGAGTTAGAGGTCCCGAGTTCGAATCCCAGACGAGGAAACTTTTTTTTTTGTTAAAATTCTTTTTTTTAAGTGTTTTTGTTAAGGAAGTAGCCATGATATACAAAGATAAAGTGTGGCTGTCGTAAAAAAAAAGAACATAAATGATTTTTTGATGCAACTCTAGTTATGCAGAATTCCGTATGTATCAAACTCTGGTGCCTTACAAAAGGAATTATAATACATAAAAATAAACTTATGCAGGAAAATGCATACAGATATACAGTACGATTTAGATTGCAAAGATCAGAAAATACCACAGAACTTGCAGCCGTTTGATTCTTTATAAATATACATGCTTATAGTAAGCTCCAGGATTATTTACATCTGTGTTAAACAACAGTTAAAGTCGTTACAAGCCCTAATTTAGAATACATGTAATATGGTTTTCTTCATGCCGTTCACATATAAATTCACCGTGGCTGAAGGGTTTTCGGGCTCGCTTAGGAAGCGAGAGGTCTGGAGTTCAAATCCCAGTAAAGGTTACTCATTTTTTTAAATTGTTAAAGTCAAATAAACATTGGATTGAATATCAGTGTTGCAATTAGTCTTATAGCCAATTTACTACAATATAAAACGCTGGAAAGCATTGGTGGCACTAAACATATAATCTCACAACCTGCACCTTTCTTACATTCTGAGACCCAAACAAACTCAGCGCCTTCTGTGCTTTGATTTATATATCGTCAAGAGAATATTACTCGATTAAAGTAATATTTGTATAAATAACTTTGCTGTTAATTTTAATATACCCTAGAAATTTTGTGGAGGGTACCCGGAATTCCTAGGTATATCAGATGGTGTGATAATCTTGTAGAGTTTTCCTAAAACCGAGATTGAATTTCGAAAATTCCGAGAGCTGCTATGGTATCGCAAGCACACGTACCAATCTGCCGATTTCAGACATTTAAAGCAAATAAACGGGATATTTTGCGTAGTAATGAAATGAAACGTTTTAAGTTCCATGAGAAACTTATCATTGAATTCATTTGATGATAAAAGAAACTGATATAATCGTTAAAACTGCAGTATAGATCAAAGCGCTGAAAGCACTGAATGCGACGGGTTTACTTAGGCTATTATAACACAAATTAAACAAATAAAATAATGCGCGCGTCATTGCGTCATCTAGCACATTTCTGCAGTGAAGGCCCCCTGAAGGTGCTCTATTTTATGCTGTAATGTTAGAACAGAATTCACATTTTCTTACATATAAAATGCATTTTAACAACATATTCTGTTTAACACTGTAAAAATGTTTGATCAAACACTTCAGTTCCCGTTATTTAAATACTTTGCTCGTTGACATTCTGCTAGCTTTTAAAATGGCGCATGCCACTACGCAATGAGTCAAAATTACCTTATTACAAACTATTTTAAATACACCAAAGATTTCATCTGTGACGTAAAAAAAAACGTAACTGCCTCACGGTTCCTGATATGTCTTATTGAAGAGGCATGCAGCTCAAAGAAGGGATGAGTAGTATGAAGAGTAATATCCTCCAAAAGTATATGTAACATGTTCATATCCTGAATGTTACAGTCTATGTTTGTTGATTGCATACATATTATACATGTTTTTACATTAGTCCAACTTCTATGATATAAATACAGAAATGCATAATTTTAAATGCATATATGCCATTGCAAGGAATAGAATTGAAGATTGTTAATGCAGAATTGGTACCATTGTTTTTGATTTAAGTCTTGTGAAAGAAGACAAATTATTGTGTAGAATACATGCTTTATAATTCTGTAGAATTTATAGAAATGTGCAATGAAACAATGTCATGTATTTGCAATGGGCAATGAATCCGGAGTATACATTTACATGGCAGTTAGCAAATCTATGAATAAGAATGCAATCAACATACCGGTAAATTAATTTGTAACATTCAGCTATAATCATGTCATCAAGATACATATAATTATGGCAGACATTCCCCTCCATAATTTCAGGGCTATTTTCTTTTCACATGTACCAATGTCAAAAAGTAGCGAACAACTTAATGACATGGTTCCCAGCAATAATTCTTTGAAATGAATAAGTTTAATTTCTTTCACTGAAATATGAATATTATTATGAAGCTTACCAGAACAACAAAGGAAGCCGACACAGAAGAATAAAATTCTCATTATCGTATTTACTTTTGCTATAGCAGACAAATTGTTATTTATCTGAACCACTTTTTGGCCTTTTCAGTGACGTCAAAAAAAATAAATCACGTTTGTGACCGTATTTTTGATAAATAAAATAAAAGGACTGTTCACGCGGACACATTTTATGAAACCGGGATTTTTTTCCACTTACGCTCAGAGCTTTTCTGTACTAGTTTTTTTTTAATTTGTCTTCTGGCTGCGGTCTGATATAAAAATGGTTTTGCGACTTCTTATATCTTGTCAAAATTCCATTTTAATTATCTCTGCGCATTATTTGACTCAAACGAACATATGCCTCTTTTCATGAAAAAATAAAAAAAAGTGTAACATTGAAGGTTCCATCGTTACTAGCTGACCATCACAGACGGATATGTCTAAATTTGCAGCTTGTACTAAATTCAAAATTTCACCATGTACATGTAAATTGTATAAATGTCGAGTTCTGCTAAAGCCGGTGCTAGGGTGCTTAGAAGGAAGCTTGCATTTATGAACATGGGCTCAATTAAAACGAAAAGGCAATATTTTAATTTTGCTGTTTTGTTTTTGTTTTTTGTTGTTGTTTTTTTGTTGTTGTTTTTTTAAGCGGATAGGTCTACAATAGACAAATTCTCCAAACTTTTCAAATATTGATAAAAACAATAGAAATGTACCATTTGGATATTCTTACAAAAAGTTGTTTGGAAGAAAAGTGATATATTTCTAAGTGACTTATAATGAACAGGTACAATGTATATAATCAAACGTAATATTTTGTTCTAGAATATTTTATTACCATTTTATTATTTGCTATATCGGATCATGTATCTCACACTTGCAAATAAGTTTCATGTATAATTCCTGCGTGATTTGTTGTTAAATACTTTCAGCGTTATTATTCATTAGTACTACAAACCTTACAATACAGACCAATTCACTTTAATCATGCTTAGAGACAGGCATACTAATTGTGTAAAAGTTTCTGAAATATTTTCGGTTGTGATTTCGGTCAATCTGACCTTAAAATGTGCTCATTATCATGTCCCATATCCCTCAGGAAGCATAGAAAGAGATTCGTAATGACGTTATGAAAGACTGTGTGAACGAGCCATGAGATCTATGACCTTATCTTAAAATTCCTGTTATCAGATAGAGAATATCATCATTGCAGACCTATATAGGAAAGTTTGTTTTGTTGGCTAATTTAGTTTGGTTTTACGGCGAGCTAACACAATTTAGGTCCTATGGCACCGAAACAGTTGGTTTTGGGCTAACTTCGGGTGTTACAAACTTAAAGCAACACCAGGAATCAAAACAACAATATAATTCGTTTGAAATTATTTAAACCTCGATTTAGGACAACGGTCAATTATAAGGCTGTTATATGAACTTTCCAACCAAATATTACATTTGAGAATGTTTTGTTTTTAATTACTAAGTGATCTCGTTACGGTTTTACTTGAATTAAAGTCGTGCTCATATAGATGCATACGGAATGTTTCATCTGGTTTCTCTTGTTAAATTACTTAGATTTTTTATTTTCATTGTACACTACTTTACCATCGATTCATCTAAAGAGAAAAATTTTGTAAAAATTATAAAAGTGAATTTAATTTGCAACAAGAAAATGACTTTTGAGACCTATATGTGTTTTTTAAAAAGAAACTCATAGAAACAAAAATCTACACAATTTAACCATTATTTGGATACTTCCTTTAAACAGGAAGAAAGAAAAAAGAAAATAAACACAAACGTTTGGTTTTAATTTATTAGAAATTTGCACATATGAAAAGTAATGCAAAATAAAAACAGAATTGAAAAACAATAATGACATCACGTGGTTAGGTCACGTGAGATGATCAGACGGTGCAGGCAACAAGTTGAAGGTCACGGTGGGTACACTTCTGTTTCTCAAACTCGCAACTGGAAAAAGAACAAAAAACAGTCTTAACTTATTTATGAGTGAACATTCTTAAAGCCATTTTTTTTTCTTTTAAGTAAGGGAACCAGAAAGAGGTATTATTCGTAAGTAACCTCAAAACAAAGAATAAGACGTAAAACCATATAATTACACTATCTAGAAAGTTTAACAATGATGCGAACAAAAATGTTGGGCGGTGTCTGGTTGGAACAAAAGTTGCGGGTGCTATCCTGGCAAATGAATAACGTCAGGTTATCCCTTTTAGTCTTTTGACGGAAAAATTCCACGATAATTTTTGCAGACTTTTATTTATATTGTCTTAATTTCGTTTCTAAGCGTGATTCGTTAACCAAGATATATACATTTTCCTTAAAGAAGCTAATAATGTCACCCAAAGATAAAAAAAATATATTATGCAAATATTTACTAGTTTTGGTACGTGTATCCGTCATCGGCACAGACTTTATCCTCATCTGCTGGACAATCCATATGGCTTAAACTTGTACACAGGAAGTCGAAAACAACGTCAGAACCGGCGGCATTGACAGGAGCCGGTGTTGTGCCGTCTGCGGCGGTACAGGCTCCGTAATGTTTAAGATCAATAGATTTGTCGGCACAATGTGCTTTACTGAATTCACATCTGAAACAGAAACAATGCATGTATAATATTTATATAAATTTCTTTCGAGAAATTATTTTCCAGAAGTTTCCATTAGCAGCACCTCGAACCCATTAAAAAACTTCTTCAAATTGGTTATTCTTTGTAAGATCAGTATGAAAAGAAATGAAATACGGCATCAAAAGTTCCCGCGAAAACCTTACGTTAACAATACAGTAACAATTATTTTCACTGTTAATGAATGTAACCAACCGACCAAATCTAATGTGATCGTGCGAGTTTTTTTTCTGTAAAAATACTCCCAATACTAAGAACTTTGCTTAGTTGTTACAGTTGATGCTTCTTCGACAGATATGTTGCATAGTTTGTCGATAAAAACAAGCAAACAAACAAAAAGCATTACTATATATGCTATGATTGTGTAATCGACGTTTACTAATAATTATTCTGGCACTTATACACTTGTATTAGCTACGGAGTTCCGCTCCAACCATCATTGTCTCGAAATATTGACGTAACGATTACGCAACGTAAGAGCTGACGTTAGAGCTAAATTATGGTAAGAAAATCCATCATTATTGTGAGTACCTTAAAATTAGCGATGCGAAAGTGCGATACAAACATTTTACCTGCTGAATTTGTATAATAGATTTCACCAGCTTAAAATCTGAAACTGTACATTCGAAGTTTAAAGGATTTCGATTTCAAAATACATGAACAAAAAGCTACCAACAGCCTGAACAACACTCACTTGTTCTTGTATGTAACTAGATTTGTTCCGCATGTAGGGTCTGGGGAGAAGTCGTCGCAGTTAACAGTGGGGGAGGTGATCCAGCGACAGCGGTAAAATGTTGCCCCAAAACATCCTAGAAACGAGATTATAAGTTTACTATAATTGCTTATATCCCTCAACGTTTAGTGTGTTTTGTTAGCCCTTTCTACGGTGTCCTGTTAGGGCCATCGCGACACACACACACTCGAAACAACGAAAACATGAAAATTCCATGGTGAAAAATCGAAGATAAGATTACTCTATTTCTTCTCAATCAATACTTATAAGATACTCAGTGTTTTTACACGAAAAAGGGGATAGTTTTTCCAGGAAACTGTTGAAAATACACAATATATGAGCCGTAATATTTGAAGAAAATTAATTTTGGGAAAAAATGTTCCTAAGCTGTTTAGAAAAGTAAAATGCTCCAATATTCAAGTAATAATTTACATGTTATGTGCGATTAATATTTTTTTTGTCATAAAGATAGCAAAATGTAAACAGCTTAGTATTTCAACTTTCATACAAAGTACTAAATAGCTATATCTGTACTAATTCTCAAAAAGAAACAGAGGCAGAAAATGGTTCAGGTAAATTGCTTATAAGTAACATTTTGGGAAACAATAACAAGAAACCAAGAATAAATCGTTTTTAAGCAATAAAAATAAAAGTATATTAGGGCATATTGGGCCTTTAATATCCTAGGTTTGATGTGCCTTAAATGACTTGAATCAGGGCATTGCAAATGTAACACTTACCGGAACAGCACACGAGTCCGACCAGTATTGCTAGAACCTTCATTGTTGTAATCCAACAGCTAAAATGTGACGTTCTAACCAATGAAACCACTACTTATAGGCATTTTTAAAATTTACACACGTTTTTCAACATTTACAGCTTAATTGTTATACAAGAATTATGTAAAGAAAGTTAAGGAAAGGTCAATATAAATTTAGATGTGGACTTACAGTCCATTGAAGGTGAATACTATATATATAAGGTCACTTTGGACTCGTTTTCTCATTTCATAAAATTATTTTCAGCCAGTTAAATGTGACATAAATTAGGGTCACGCATGCAAAGTATCTCTCCAGTGTGTCTTTGCTTGATAAAACATTGTATAACAGTCGTCCGAAATACTAGTAACCCAACCGAAATGAAATTGCTGTCGATATAGGCAGTTATCGCATGGGTGGGCGATTTGTCTTTGATGGTCCTTATCTGTTATACGCCCGTTATATGCTTTTTATTTTATGCTTTTCAGTGCATAACTGATTTATCCGTGAAGATTATATTTGATAATTTGACAGTTCTATTTATTCAAATTCCAATCACCAAATTTCGTCTCTAAATTTTTTTGTTTCAATTTTACAGTCTGAAAAATACATTCAAAACTGCTCTTGATGACATTTAGGCATATTAAAGTATCCTACGAGCAATAACTGCCGTATTCTTTATGAAAAGACAGCCAACAAGTAAACAACCCAGCGTTCCTGAGCCAGCCTTTGAAGTTTTCCATTTTCCTTGCTGCTTTTTGAATGATTTGTCAACACTTATTTTTTGTCTGTTACAATCCTCAAATAAGTTTTCTTTCTTTTAAAAAGGTGTATGACTAACAAATCCAAATAATATCCCTCTGAATCAAACACAATTATTTTCCTCCCGTGAAATACACAACTTAAAAAAATGGCTGCCGCTTACATTTAACAAAGCCAGGTCTAATATAAATTCGCAATAAGTAACGGAAATATGGATGGATGGTTGGACTTTATCTCCTACAAGAATTGTTTGTTTTTATTATTTAAACAAGCGATCATTCATATTTTTTTAATAAAATGAATAATATCACCGTCATTTAACGTTGATTGTCGAACTAATTTTTCAGCTCAACACTCTCAATGGGGAAAACAGATTTTAATATAAACGTTAATAAAAAAATAATTTTTTTTACAAAACAACAATGTTTCTTCAAATTTATATGTTATGTCAAGTTTTGATATGGAAAAACGCGACTTTGGGTAATTTCAGGTATTTTCATCATTTTTTGTTAACCCTTTACCTCATATATACGCGAACCAACGCATTTTCGACCCCCCCCCCCTCTTTTAAGCCTCTAATATTGAAACAATGTTCTGTTTGGGCCCCCAACACATGTTTTCGTGTAAAAAAGTGACGACGTTTTCGGCGCGGCCCCCAAACCAGAAGATTCATAAGGGGGTAGTCAGAAGGGGGGTGTGCCCCCTTCTGTTTGGGGGTTGTGAAGGGGGGACGAGCCCCCCTCATCGCCAAGAAAATTTTGGACTTGTGAGAGGCTAAAAATGACCCCAGATCGATCAAAATGTAACGTGTAACCAACGCTGAAAAGCATCTGACTCTTTCTCAATCCATTGAGAAGTTGCAGCACTTTGAAATCAATTTTGATGGAAAAAATCAATGCAAAATAATGATTTTTGGCAATTTTGAGATGTCCCCTCGTTGCCATGGTAACAGGAAATTTAAGCCTGAGTATGTTGTTACAAATGCAATTGTCCAGATAACATTTGTGCCAAGTTTGATTAGTATTGAAGCAGTTTTTATAGTTTTATAGCAATTTGAACTTGTAACGAGAGACTTTTCACTGGAAACCGCCATTTTTCACAAAATGCTCATGAAGTAATGGGTTAATATTATGGAAACTTGTTTTTAAGCATAAAATAAAAAAAAATTGTTTGTTTGTTGTGTGAGATGTGATTATATTTCATCTCGTGAACTTTAAAAACAGAATTCATTTATTTAAGGGAAGCAATATATAAATTGAAATTAAAATTTCAATCAAAATTTTTACGCATTAAATTTCTATACCTGACTTGTAAACATTTCCAACAATAAATTGAACTATTTTATAAATTTATCTAAAAAATTATCTCAAGTATTAATGTCGGCCATTTTTTACGAATTGTTATAACATAATTTTATCATTCTGAAATTGTCTTTTCCGTAGGTTCTTTTCGGTAAATTAATTGCTTCTTTCTTTTTTTACGGCCCTGATTGCACTTCTGACAAATTTACCGTTTTTTACCGATTTTATTTTGTTTCAAGGCATGGATTGAATGGTGGTATGAGTAGAAAGTTGTTTTGCTGAACACTGTGACATTTAACAACAGAAACGTTCGTCTGTAGTTTTAACATGAGGTGTTATGGGTTTATTGATAGTAGGTGGGTCAGACGAGGTTTTTGAAGCAATTCAACCAAATGGTAGATTGATCTCCCAATAAATCAATTAATCAATAGCTCTGTATTTATCACCAATGTCAGGTAGCTTTTATATCATTGACTCGCATGAACATGATGTTAGTGAATTTCCTCATACCTGCCTAAAATTCAGGTGTTCAATTGTATTGATAAATACTGTTTGACCATAAATTACATGCAAATTTAATCATGATTTTTTGAATATACCATTATTTTTGTTAACACGTATGACAACAACAAATAAACCCTGCTTTTGGTCACTTTGAAATTCATCCCATTTTTTTTTCATACCAGTGTGTGTTCTGCTTTTAGTATTTATATCTGGGACTTAAATTATAACTACTGTATCTTAAGTCCCTGGGATTAATAGAAACCATTTTTTTATTTGACATAAAAATGAAATTAGTCCCTTTGATACTATTTCATATACTGTTTGTATATTTGTTACATTTATAATAAAAACCAGACTTTGTTCATTTTGAGTACTGTTTTGTATGTTTCAAAGAAAATACATTTAATATTCTAATCTCTAGCAAGCCTACCAAAGTTCATGATGAACAATGTCTTTCTCCGCCCATTCATCTATGAAAAAGTATGATATACAATTCTGGTAAAATCTAATTAACCATTGGAAAGTTTATATGAAGATATCTGGTCATCAGATGTCTACTAGTTCAACATCACTTGCTGCATTTCTTGCTTGGACGCCCTTTGATGCTTTGCATCAATGCTTTTATTGTCCTACTTGTAAAAGGAACGGAAAGTATTTAAATGTACTGGGCTGCAAGAAAAAACAGATTAAACTTGAGCAGCCGACAATGTTTGAGACTGGTAAGACAATACATATTTTGCAAGCCTAAGCCTCAACCTGCTGACTTTGTGAATTTTTTCAAGATTCCATATTTCGAATTGTCCGTTGTCAAGATAGACATTTAAAAAGTAAGTCAGCAAACAGTAAAGAGCCTGGTCAGACTGCGCGGATGTTCAGTCTGATTTTGACACTATACTGTATATATATTGTACTTAGTATACTTGAAAGTATACAACTTTCCGTAAGACTAACTATAACTCCAATTAAAACATTCATTACAAGTATATAAAGCATGTATTTTGTTCAAATCCGCCATATTTTATTGGAGCATGTGCGTTATGAGCGTAAATTTGGAGCATGTTCGTTTTGGCTAACCGGTGTTACACTAGGTTGATATGTTGCAACATTGACCCTACAGTGAATTTCATTTGCAACAAGAAAATGACTTTTAGGACCTATGTATGCTGCTAAAAAAGACACTCATAGCAAACACAAAAACTGCATAATTTAACTCAATTTTTCTATACTTCCTTTTATTTGGAAAAAAGAAAATATGCACAAACATACATTTTTTTAATTTATTAGAAATTTTCATATATGAAAAGCAGTGCAAAATAAAAACAGAATTGAAACAACAAAGACATCACGTGGTTAGGTCACGTGAGACTATCAGACGGTACAGGCAACAAGTTGAAGGTCTCGGTGAGTACACTTCTGTTTCTCAAACTCGCAACTGGAAAAAGAACAAAAAACAGTCATTACTTATTTATGAGTAAAAATTCTTAAAGGCATTTTTTTCTTTCAAGAAAGAGAACCAGAAAGAGTTATTATTCGTAAGTAACCTAAAAACAAAGAATAAGACGTAAAACCATATAATTATCTAGAAAATTTAACAATGATGCGAAGAAAAATGTTGGGCGGTGTCTGGTTACAACAAGAGCTGCGGTTGCTATCATGGAAACTGAATAAATTCAGGTTGTCCTTTTTGTATTTTGACGATAAGAAACCCACAGTTATTTTAGCGTATTTTTATTTTTAAAAAAACTTATTTTCGTTGCTTTTCTTCGTTAACCAAGACATATATATTTTCTTGAAAATAGCATACAATGTCTCCCAAAGGTGTAATTATCTCGTGCGCACGACTTAGTAACTCGTGGCCATGTCATATTATCTCGTGCGCATCACTTAATTATCTCGTGCGCACGACATAGTAACTCGTGTCCACGACATAGTATCTCGATCATACGCACGAGATAAATAAAAGCACACACATGTCACCTTTTCGCCACCGTAGCAAACGGATATATTATGCAAATATTTACTAGTTTCGGTAAGTGTATCCGTCATCGGCACAGACTTTATCGTCATCGGCAGGACAATCCATATGGCTTAAACTTGTACACAGGAAGTCGAAGACAACGTCAGAACCGGCGGCATTGACGGGTGCCGGTGTTGTGCCGTCGGCGGCGGTACAGGCTCCGTTATGTTTAAGATCAATAGATTTGTCGGCACAATGTGCTCTACTGAATTCACATCTGAAACAAAAACAATGCATGCAAAATATTAAATCCCAGAAGTATCCATTATTAGCAACTCAAAACCATAAAATCTTCTTCACATTGCTCATTCTTTGTAAGATAAGTATGATACGGCATCAAAAGTTCCCGCGAAAATCTTACGATTTCTTAGAATTGGCAACAGTATAATCAAAGTTAAAGGGACTTCAATTTCAAAATAAATAAGTACTCACTTGTTCTTGTATGTAACTAGATTTGTTCCACATGTTGGGTCTGGGGAGAAGTTGTCACAAATAACAGTCGGGGAGTTGATCCAGAAACAACGGTAAAATGTTGCCCCAAAACATCCTAGAAACAATATTACAAGTCAATCATTGCTATTATCTAATTATATTTAGTGTGTTTTTAGCCCTTTCTACGGTGTCCCGCGTTACGGTCATCGCGACACACACACAAACACACACACACACACACACACACACACTCGAAACAACGAAAACATGAAAATACCATGGTGAAAAATCGAAGATAAAATAATGAATGTCGAAAGTATGATGGTGAAAAGTCGAAATAACGATACCACTATGGTAAAAAATCGTAACGTTAATTGTATTGAGTTTCCACCACCTTGGATCGTTATTTCGACTTTTCACCATCGTACTTTCGACTTTTCATCATCGTACATTCGACTTTTCACCATCGTGGTTTCGTTATTTCGACTTTTGTTCATACAATATTTAAAAAGGCATATCAACTTCAAAGACCCGATTACTTCTCAATTAAAACCAGTAAGATACTCAGTGCTTTTATACATAAAAGCGGGTAGTTTTTTTAAGAAACGTTTGAAAATACACAATATATTTAGCCTCAAGATCAGCTTTAATATTTCAAGAAAATTAAACTTGGGAAAAATAAACTAAGCTGTTAAGAAGAGTAAAATGCTCCAATATTCAAGTAATAATTTACATGTTATGTGCAATTAATAACTGTTTTTTTGGTTTTTTTTTTGTTGTTCTTTTTTTGGTTTGTATTTTTTAATATTTATATCCATATTTCTACTGCGTATCTAACGCAGTAATGGCTGTTTTGAATCTTTTCGGTAATTTACGTGAATTGTCAGTGCCGTTTGCAATGTATAAATTACTTTCTTTATATTTATCTTTTTCATACATTTTCAAAGTGTTTATGAAAACTAGCTTGAATCTGGAGTCTTGCTGCTTTAAAGGCACATTATACCTCAGACATGATAAATGACATATTTTCCTTCAGTTCCTTTAGAAAGGGAACAAAAGTTTATAACGTTTAAATAATGGTTTTAGTGTATGTTAGATGCTTGTACCCTGAAATTTGTTTTTTGTTTGTTTTGTTTTGTTTGTTTTTTTTTGTCATAAAATTAGCAAAATGTAAACGGATAAGTATTTCAACTTCCATACAAAATACTGTATAGATATATCTGTACTAATTCCCAACAGAAGCAGAAAATGGTTCAGGTAAATTGCTAATAAGTAACAATAAAAATAAAAGCATTTTTGGGGCAAATTCGGCCTTAAATATCCGAGGCCTGTATGTGCCTTAAATGAATTGAATCAGCGCATTGCAAATGTAACACTTACCGGAACAGCACACGAGTCCGACCAGTATTGCTAGAACGTTCATTGTTGTAATCCAACAGCTAAAATGTGACGTTCTAACCAAAGAAACCACTACTTATAGGCATTCTTCAGATTTACACACGTTTCTAAACATTCACAGCAAAATTGTTATACAAGAATTATGTAAGGAAAGTTAAGGAAAGGTCAGTCTAAATCTAGTTGTACAATTACTGTCCATTGACTGTAGATACTATATACGGTCATTTCGGACTATTTTTTCTCATTTAATTAAATATTTTCCGCCGGTTAAAGGTGACATAAATTAGGGTCACGCATGCAAAGTATCTTTCCAGTGTGTCTTTGCTTGATAATACATTATAAAACAGTCGTCCAAAATAATCCAACCGAAGTGGAAAATACTGTCGATATAGGCAGAAATGTATTTTTTCGAGGCTTCCGATGATGACAGTCAAAACGCTCTGAAATTGGCTAATATTTCCGAACAGAAAACCAATATTACACTTTTATTAAAAATATTTCTTTATTCGTATTATACATTTATATTTATTTATGAAGGTCAGACATTTCCTTAATGTTATTTATTGATACGTTCGTCCTCCTAAGTTCGCTACAAAATTTTTAAAAACTCACATACAATATATGTAATTTCAAGGAAAATTTTGAGTTTATAGTTGTTTTTTTTCGACTTTGCATTTATGTATATAATATAATTTTTTGTTTCTGCAAAACGTCTACGTTTCGAAAATGTTTTATTATGCATTAAATATAGGTTATTTGAAAATATGAACCTGGGGCATTTCTGCCAAATAACGCATTAAATTTCTATACCTGACTTATCTTACTTGTAATAAAAACGGAACGTAATGTGCTGGGCTGCAAGAAAAAAAGATTAAACTTGAGCCGCCGACAATACTTGAGACTGGTAAGACTTTTGCAAGCCTAAGCCTAAACCTGCTGAATTTCTGAAATCAACTTTTTCAAGATTCCATATTTCGAACTGTCCGTTGTCAAGATAGATATTTAAAAAGTAAGTCAGCAAACAGTACAGAGCCTGATCAGACTGCGCGAATGTTCAGCCTGATTTGGCACTTTATATACTTGAAAGTATACAACTATAACTATAACGCCAATTAAAACATACATTACAAGTATGTAAAGTATGGTTTATAATAACGTACTCCGCCATATTTTATTGAAGCATGTGCGTTATGAGCGTAAATTCGGAGCATGTTCGTTTTGGCTAACCGGTGTTACACTGGGTTGATATGTTGCCACATTGACCCTACATGATGGCTGTTTTTGTATATGACATTTGTTTCCAACGTGAAATAATTAAAACAAAAAAAAATAAAAAAAAACACGTATCTTTCCGAAACTTTCATTTTTAAACCGGTCAAAATATTATATGAAATGGGGAAACAAGTGAAACAAGTCCAAAATTACCTGTAAGTATCTCAAGTCAATGGACAGTTAGTTTATAGCAATGGAATGTTCCTAAACTTGCATTATAATTATGAATATACTAACCAATTTTATAACCTACCTGTAGTAATAATTAAATTTTAGATTTTAAATCTGTCATTACTGGCGCGAGTAATACGGTGTGCACTGTGTATAATAAAGCTTCAGAAAGGGTTGTGGGGCGAAAAATCTATTTGGAACTTAAAGTTGCCAATAATTTCACGAATTCAAATACAAAAAATATATATCTAAAAGTTAATAATGAATGGAAATTGAAAAATAAAATAATGGCCCTCTCGCCATTTCATATACAAAAGGAATACGAATTTAAATGGTAAACATCAATCATAATTTCTCTTATCTAACAACAAAATAGTTCAGTAACACTGAAGTCACGTTTTGTTCTTCTATTCAGAGTTTAGCACAGAATCAAACTTTTTCGCTATCGTAACGTCCGGAAGAATGTTGATCGTAATAGCTGTCCTTTTTGGTGCTTTTTCAGGTAATAACACTATATTTATGCTTATAATAACAATGTGTTTATGCTTGTAATAATGCTTGTAAATATATTGTTTTACCGTGCGAAACAATACTTCTATGTTTGTACAATGGTTATTACAAGTTATGTTATACTTGTCATCATATAGTTTCTTCTATGATGTCATTTACAGTATGTTTATGCATGTTATTACACTTCTTTGCATGTTATTACACTTCTTTGCATGTAATTACACTTTTGTCCATGTTATTACACTTCTGTACATGTTATAACACTTCTGTACATGTGATTACACTTCTGTACATGTGATTACAATACTGTGCATGTAATTACACTTCTATGCATGTTATTACACTTCTGTACATGTGGTTACAATACTGTGCATGTAATTACACTTCTATGCATGTTATTACACTTCTGTACATGTGATTACACTTCTGTACATAAGATTACACTTTTGTACATATGATTACACTACTGTGCATATTATTACACTTCTATGCATGTTATTACATTTCTATGCATGTTATTACTCTTCTGTACATGTGATAACACTTCTGTACATGTGATTACACTTCTGTGCATGTGATTACACTTCTATGCATGTGATTGCACTTCTATGGATGTTATTACACTTCGGTGCATGTTATTACACTTCTTTTTTTGCATGTGATTACACTTTTGTACATGTGATTAGACGTATGTGCATGTGATTACTATTATATGCATGTTATTACACTTCTATGCATGTAATTACACTTCTATGCATGTTATTACACTTCTGTACATGTGATTACACTGCTGTGCATGTAATTGCACTTGTATGCATGTTATTACACTTCTATGCATGTATTGACACTTCTGTACATATGATTACACTTCTGTACATGTGATAACACGTCTGTACATGTGATTATATGCATGTTGTTACACTTCTATACATGTTATTACACTTATATGCATGTTATTACACTTCATTAACATGCTATTTCACTAATATGCATGTTATTACACTTCTATGTATGTGATTACACTTCTTTTTGTGTTATTACACTTATATGCATGTTATTTCACTTCTGTACATGTGATTAGACTTCTGTGCATGTGATTACCTTTCTATGCATGTGATTACCTTTATATGCATGTTATTACACTTCTATGCATGTTATTACACTTCTGTACATGTGATTACACTGCTGTACATGTGATTAGACTTCTGTGCATGTGATTTCCTTTCTATGCATGTTATTACACTTCTATGCATGTTATTACACTTCTATGCATGTTATTAAACTTCTGTATTTGTGATTACACTTCTGTTCATGTTATTACACTCCTATGCATGTTATTACACTTCTGTACATGTGATTACACTTCTGTATATGTGATTAGACTTCTGTGCATGTGATTACCTTTCTATGCACGTTATTACACTTCTAGGCATGCTATTACACTTCTATGCATGTTATTTCACTTCTTTGCATGTGATTACACTTCTATGCATGTTATTACACTTCTGTACATGTAATTACAATCAGTTTATACATATTCTTGTCATTACACTGTGTTTATACGTGCAATGACATAACAGTTAAAGTGACTTGCCCATCCAAAGATACGTAGTGAGTGAAAAGGGTGAAAGTCAAAATAAGTTTACATTTTGCCTTTCAATTTCATAATTTACTTCGCATGAACGATGTATAATGATATATAACTCACGTGGCCAAAGCAATTTTTTGTAAATATTTATCGGAATATACCTTTAACGATATATTAGTCTATTCATATTTTAGCCGAAGTTATATTCTGTCCTAAACATTTTAAAATATATACTGTTGGTTATTTAACATTACAACAGTCATTGTTTTGAAATAAATAGTCAATTCAGCTCATCTTCACTATGAAGAAATGAGCATAATGTCACTTTGATGTTTATTATTACACTATTTATGTTTGTAATAACACTATTTTTGTTTATTATATGTAAATGTTTATGTTTCTACTTGTTTATGTTTGCAGTGACATGCACATGTTGAACTGTATTTCATTGTTTATATATCGCAAATATTTTTCAGTGGTGAATTCTCAGTTTTTAAACTGTCCCTGGGTCAATAGTTTGGACTGTACAACTTACACCCCTTCAGTCGACTGTGGTTCAGACGGTGTCACCTACCCAAACAGGTAATACTTATCTAAGAATCGTATTATAACTGCCAGTGAAAGCTTCTAAAGTCTCGTTGGCCTCCTGCGCATCAAAATAGTAAACATAATAAAAAACGACTTACATACATGTATATACATTTAGTATCATTCAGTGAATTACTAGGTCACCTTTTGACAGACTATTACCTCTAAGCACACGAATGGTTGACATGTGGGCCGTCATTAAGCCTAGAATACATACAAACATGCCAGTACAAGCCGAAATATCTGGCTAGGGTGAAAGATAACATTTCCCAGTATAATCGCAACTTTTCGGTGATTTCCGTCAAACTTCGGATATAATTGATTAATGGTAAAAATGCGAGGTGTTTCGAATTCTCCATCACAATCGGAACATCCTCGCCTATTATTCATATCCGAAGACTGACGGAAAGGGCTGAAAAGTTGCGATTGAAAAAGTCAGTATGAAATGTAATCTTTTTTTTTTTTAAAAAACTACATTGTTAACCAAAAGGCAAATTCATACACTGCGTTAACAAGACTTTCTGTTTATACCTAGTAATAGAATTTAATTTCAAGTACTTGTATTTGGAAAACAAGACTGTTTATTTAGAACGATACATCTAGAATAATATGAATAATCATTAAAAGATGCGTTCATTTATGTAATACTAATTCAATAATCTTTATGTAATATTGAATAACCCTATAACGTATTTTAGGTGCTACTTAGCACAACAAATATGTGTAGATAATAATCTACATATTCTACATGAGGGTGCCTGCCTGTCATCCGAAGCAAGCACGACCCCGTCACCAAACTTTGTCCATGGAAATGACGCTGTGCTTGATTTCTTCTGTACTACACTTAGTCACCAACAATGTGGACCCGAGATACAAGAAGTATGTGCAACCGATGGCAGAACTTACCTAAATTAGTAAGTAAAGCATTCAATCTAAGGATTGCTAACCGAGCGGGTCCAAACCCTGTCAGGGGCAAGCCGTTGTTTCCTTGAGTAAGAAACCTTACATTCATTGCTAAGTACTGGTTGGTTCCAGAAACAAATTCGAGGATGTTTCAATAATCTTATAATTTCCAACACAATCGAACTAAAATAAACTGGTATAAACTAAAGAAAATTTTTAGATCATTCCCTCAACCGGTTTTCCCTGAATCAACATTTTCAATGTGCAAAATGACCTACAAATGAAAAGCGTTGCAACGCTTTTCGCTGAAATCGTCCTTTAAATTACACCAAAAAAATCGATTTTTAATTAAGTTCCGAGCATATTTCTTTTTAAGCCTATTGTTTCACTTGATCTATATACAAATTTCATTTTTTACGTTTTTAGGTTTTTTGACCTCAGTGGAGCTCCTTTACAATCTCATAATGAAAAATCATATTGTTGCATATGTTCAAAATTTTCAGCTGTGAGTACGACAAGGCAAGATGCACGCACCGGAATCTCAGAGTGAAAGACTTTGGACCTTGTGTTTGAAATATTCATATTTCATCAACAATGAATGTATTTTAATTGTAGCAACATGCGACTCAATATAAATATATAAACTTTTGTTGTTGAGATTCTGTCTTTGTCTTTTCTTTCTCAAACACCTGAAAAAATGAGTACAATTGTGTTTAAATTTGACTGCTTGATTTATTGGGATTTAATCTATATTGGGCGATACTTTACGGGCGCCACATAGAAATAATCGCATGCTGTTGTGAGTTGATAAACAAAATTGGATGAACGAAAACATTGGAAATGGAGAAAAAAACACGTCAATTTGCAGAGTTGACGTGTCTAAGTCTATTCATAAGAGGCCATAGCATATGTACAACTGGGCGCCTTGTAGAACCTTCGTAATCCAAACTGGCATTTGTATTTGTGTATTAAAACTTTAATACTGGTAATTGGAATGTATTACCCTACTGGCCAATAAAATACAATTAAAGACTGTGGATTGATTTTTACGGCCGCAAACGTCACATATTTATTAAATTTACTATTTCGAGTACATGTACATTTTATATGAACGACAAAATGCGAGATAATCAGAGACGAAACGGGAGATAAAAGTTTGTCTGACATATATATTCCAAAATTATTTTGAATGGGAACAACACGATTCTTATCTGTAGAAATAACTGTTGTGTAACACTAGGACTAGCAGGGTCACGTTTATGCTCCTTGTAGTTATACATTGCTAATTGAAATCAAAACTTGCAGGGATCACTAACATAACGATGATAGGCCTACTTGTTTTTATTTTGGCGGCCTCTTCAGGTAAGACTTCTTCCGCCTCGTTTTGTTCTTTATGTTTAATTGATTTAAATTCAACACCGGAGGACATATTTATTACTCTTGCAGCATGAAAATTACATCTGTACTGTCTCAGGATAAGGAAGCTTTTATATGTTTTTAAAATTTCTAAAAGAGCTCGTGATACTTATAATAATAACATGACATTACATTACATTATGTTATGTGCACGAGTACATGTTTCTTCGAGGCGTCCGTGGCCGTCTGGTTAAGTGGTTGCTGAATTTACTAGTAAGCCACTTGCCCCTCACCGTTGTTGGTTCAAATCCCGTCAAGCACTTTGGATTATTTCATGTCAGAAAGCTATCCAGCTAGCTTACGGGACGCCGTCGGTTCTACTCTGGAGCCCATATGTGCGGATGGGGGATCTAAGGTTTTCCTCCACCAGTAAAAGTAAAAAGTCGCCATATGGGTTGATGCGACGTAAACTCTATTCAACCAACCAAACAAGTTTCCTCTGCTTAACAATATCTGATACACCGAAAGTGGCAAATTTTGCACGATAGATATTCACGGACAAGTGGAAATTTGTCTACTCATTTAAAATGTTAAACTATTTTTAATATTTGAAGACAACTGAGTATATCAAAATGTTCGAAATTCTTACATTCCGTATTTTGCAGTAAGCGGTCAGTTTTTAAACTGTCCCTGGGTTAACAGTTTGAATTGTTCAGCATACGATCCCCAACCGGAATGTGGTACAGACGGCTTTACTTATGTGAACAGGTTAAGAGTTATTACTTTATAAGATTGGGTTTTTCTCTGTTTTGGGGGATGTGTATTTTATTTTTTTTTTTTTTTTTTTTTTTTTTTTTGGGGGGGGGGGGGGGTATTGTTGTTGTTTTACATTTTGAACATTGTCCGGGATATAACTCTGAAAATACAAGAGGTATCAAAAAAGAAACTTTGCAGGTAGATATATGTCATTGAGTAGACATGCAGTGCACAAGAACCGTAACTCTGCCTTGCCTAATTTTATTATCTACAATATATATGACCAATGCTGCGATACCCTAACAGTTATAGAACTGGCCAATCCTTCACTCTGTGGGCTTGAACTATATGTTGGATTTTCAACAAATGTTTGCGACAACGTTCTATTGTTCTACACAGATGACCAAATACTCACCGTACTACTCCTAAAATGATAATTACCAGTAGACTAGTAAATTAAATAATATCACAATAATGGTTATAAGAGAGACAAATAGTCGTGAAATACTCCATTAATCCAATCGAAACGCTTCGTTTCCATTCAAAATTACTGAATACACTGAAACATTCAATTTGCGGCTATTTTTTCCAGGTGCTTTTTTGCTCAGCAACAGTGTGTTCACCTGGAACTTCATATTCTACATGACGGAGCATGCCTGCCATCCGAATCAAGTACAACCCCAGCTGCAACAACAGTAAGCGGCCATGATGCCGTACTCGATTTCTTTTGCACGGTTATCAGCAAACAAGATTGTGGAACCGAAGATCAACCAGTTTGTGCGTCTGACAACTGGACTTATAAAAACTAGTAAGCCAAACTTTTGTCATTCATTAAGTTAAATCCTTAATTGCAAGGGTAGCAATACAGGACCTCGCTGTATAGGATAATAAAACAAACATATATTTTATTGGTCAATCGATATTTCGCTCGTTCGTTGTTTTATTATTCTGTTCTTTTCTGTTCTGTCTCATCTTGAGCAAGCATTTTATTCAATCTGAAAACCAAGTTCATTTGTATTCATGTTACTGTTGTGTGGTTTCAATGTTTTCCCCGATAGGTCTAGTTTTTAGTGAGGCACTGTATGTAGCACACATAGAGTTATTTGATTTAGAAAACACTAGACTTATAAACAAAGCCGACAAGCAAAAATAAAACTATCAGTTTGCATAATTTTGATTTTCATTGCCGATTATTTCTATATAATAAACAAATTTTACGCTGCAGTGGTCCAAGGTAAACAACTTCTATAAACAAATTTTTCAATTAATGTGTAGTTGCTTCCCTTAGACCACAGGTTGTAAAAAAAATACAGGATATCGCTATCTTTAAAATCTGATATTTAACTCGATAATACATCCCTAATGTTATTGAGGCTAATCAATGAATAGATAAAATATTTCTATTTTTCAGTTGTGAATATGATAAAGCCAGGTGTACTCACAGAAACCTGATGGTGCTAGACTATGCCCCATGTCCGTGAAATGTTACTGTTTGGCGTCAATATATTCTTAAGCGAAAAAATAAATTTGAAATACACAATTGTATATTTATGTTTTCTTTTGATAATTGACCGTTTTTATTTCAACAATTCATATATATGTTTTTCTTGGGGATTTCTCAACATCTGAATGAAAAAATTTCAAAGATTATTATGCAGAACTAATCGCTAAGCCAGGAATGCTTCTATATTTGAGCCGTGTCATGACAAAACCAACATAGTGGTTTTGCGACCAGCATGGATCCAGACCAGCCTGCGCATCCGCGCAGTCTGATCAGGATCCAGGCTGTTCGCTATCAGTGCCTCTACTTGTTAAAGGGTTGGTAAGCGAACAGTATGGATCCTGATCAGACTGTGCGGATGCGCAAGCTGGTCTGGATCCATGCTGGTCGCAAACGCACTATGTATGTTTTGTCGTGACGCGGCTCATTTATTTCTTAAATTTTAGATGAACTTTTGTTTTTAAAGAGCTATTCATTGGCCAATTACTGAGTCATTTTCCCTTCTGTTTCTTTTTGGCAATTGGTGCATTTATAGTGATTTAGTATTTTGTATAGAAGTCAAAATACTACTTCGTTTACATTTTGCCACTTTTATGACAAATTAGTTTACGTTTAGTGCTACTTTCTTCTGGTAATAAGCATGTAACATGGTCGTTAACAATTATTGGTCATAAACCATTTTTTAAATGTTATTAAGTTTTTGTTTTCCCTTTTTAAAGAAGTAAAATTTATTCGTTTCAGAGACAATTTGCATTTAAAACATAAGCCTCAAACTATTTCATGAAGTTTTTAATAATATTATTGTTCAGGAATCAAATTATTTGTCATTACTTTTGTTATAGAGTATCCTCCCTATATTTGGATTTTGTGAACGAATAATATCTTTTTCTATATTTTTCATATTATACAGTAAGCACTGTGTGGCGCCGTTATATGTCGCAACGCCGCTAAATGTCGCATTTACCGCTAAATGTCGCACCAATACCGCTAAATGTCGCAACTGCCGCTAAATGTCGCAAAATCATTTGCCGTTAAATGTCGCAATGTTAACGTTAAATGTCGCACGAATTTCCGCTACCGTTAAATGTCGCAACACTACCGTTAAATGTCGCAAGATATAAATTCATGTTAAAATCATGATTAAAAGTAGTAGTATTTTAATTTAAAACGCTCTCATAGTTATTTTTACTGTAAATATCGAGGATTTGAGCTGCTATATAATGAAATATTGACGCTAGAAAGCGTATTCTAGAAAGATACAAGAAAAGCATTGATGCAAAGCATCAAAGGGCGTCCAAACAGCAGGTGCAGCTGAACTAGTAGATATATGATGACAAGATATTCTTATAAACTTTTCAATGGTTCATTGGGTTTTACCAGAATTGTATATCACTTTTGAATGAACGGACGAAAGACATTGTTCATTATTTATAACTTTGATCGGCATGCTAGAAATTAGAATATTACTTGTTATTTCTTTATGATCGTGGTTATTAATAGCAACGGATATACATGTATACAATCATTTATAATCCATATATGTAACGCATGATCAACACCATACTTGTGTAATTGTCCCTTATTATGTTATTGCTATTAACGAGGACCCCCTCTTAAGGTATCTGTTCACACTAAGTAACAATATGACACTTGTTATATTACCATGTTGATCATGTTGAGCATAATTGTTTATTATACAATAAATGTAATTTCTATTTAATAAAAAAAAATACAGATTTTATGAATATTGTTTTCTTTTTCTTTTTTTGTGTGTGTTTTATGCGCTATTTTAATACTGAGTTTTTACGTTTACTACTATTTTTAAGAATTCAATTGTCATAATGATCGACGATTATAAGTCAAAACTTAACTGGAAAAAGTCAGTAAATCATGGTTAATCTTTCAATTTATAATATTGTTTATTCTTAAACCATATACATGTACATTTGTATTTTTCTTTATCATTTTTTAAATTATCAATCAATTGAATAATTCATAAAATCTGATTTGTAACTTTGAATAATTCCTCGGATCTTTACTAAAACA